AAGTAGGTAATCTAGTATATTATTCGTGGCACTAATCTCTAATTTACCTCACATTAAAGAAACACTATAGTCCCCAGAACCACTGCAGCTTAATGTAGTGGTCCTGGTGTCTATAGCCTGTCCCTGCAGGCCTTTTAATGTAAACAGAGCGGCACTGCAGCACTAGCGTTAGTTAACATGGCAGGTCATATGGGTGGGGCATTGTGATGTCACGGGGGAGGGAGGGCGGCAAACTTTACTTTTGCCTAGGGCGGCAAAAATCCTTGCACCGGCTTTGGGGACAGGGCACAAGCATGCATTCGCCTCCGCATGGACAACGTCTCAGCAGTGAAATATGTCAACCACATGGGCGGTACACAGTCTGCGGTTCTGGCCAGATTGGCGAAATACTTTTGGGAATTTTGTCTGGATCAGAACTGGGGTTCACAATATCTCTCGGACACCAGCGACTGGAAATTGGACATGGACGTGTTCTCTGATATATCGTCTCTTTGGGGTCCTTTTGCTATCGACCTCTTCGCATCCCGGCTCAACACCCAACTCCCTCGATTCTACAACTAGAGGCCGGACCCGACAGCGGAGGCAGTGGACGCCTTCCTGCAAGACTGGAGTGGGGACCTCCTGTCTGCTTTCCCCCCATTCTCCATGAACCCGCGCACTCTCCTTCAATCCCGCAGACATCGAGCTGGACTGGTCATAGTGACCCCCTTCTGGGAGTCCTGGTTCCCTTAACTTCTCGGGATGGCAGTGGACTACCCCAGACTATTGACATCCTTCAAGGAACTTCTGCAGTTTCCGAAAGGATGTTGTCACCCTCTCCTGTTAGAGGGCCACCTCCCGCTCCTGGTGTGGCGGATTTCAGGGGACCCTGGGAGGTCCAGGGAGTTTCTGAAACTACTAGATGCTGGGGTGTTTCAGCTGTGTTATCGTTCCTCACATCCTGGCCCGCTAACTCCGCACTCTCCTTACGACAGTTATCGGCAAAGTTGGTTTGTCTGTTTTGCCTCATCTCCTGCAAGAGGGTCTCAGACGTCCGAGCCCTGTACTTTGATGCCAGATTGTACACCCCGGAGGGAGTGACTTTCAATATCAGCAAACGCACCAAAAGATCTATTAACTCTGTGTCCTATCCAAGTTTCCCACCTACACCGGCGTTGTGTCCAGTGGCTTGCCTACGTGAATATGAAGACTGCACCAGACTGCACTGTTCCGCATCCTTTCCCCAACTATTTTTATGCTTCCATCCTCCTTTTGCCCCCTTCACTAGCACCACGTTGTAGCGCTGGGTGAAATAGTTACTGATTCAAGCCAGTATTGATACTGCGCTCTTTGGCGCTCATTTGGACAGGGGGGCTTCAGCCTCTTCGGTTATGGTTTCTGCTGCGCGTTTGGAATATCTCATGAGTATGACTGACTGGTCGAGGGAATCTATTTTTTGGGAATTTTACTTTTGACCGGTTCCTCATATGTTCGCTGTAGTAGTTGATCAGCTTTAAACTTGCAATATGAGCCACCGTGTCTTGTTATAAATTTGTATGATTTTGCTATTACATGACGAAAAATCATGATTTTATTAAAGACACTGATGCGAGTATTGTTCCACCCATATTGTACTGCTCACTTTATGTTCTCTTGTCGCCCACCCAGTTTGTTTTGAAATATAGGGGAAATGTATGGACTTGTTGGTACGGTAAGTGGGGCCTGTGTTGTAGGGGGATTTGGTTGAGTAACTAGCTGGGTTCGGGTCTACCTGGTTTCTAAGACTGATGATATATGTGGGGCTTTGCATTGTCTGGCCCTGATGTTAATCTCAAGTACCGATTTAACCCTTGGGCTCCTGTTCCTTATGTTTTCGCAGCCTGATCTGATCTGGTGGAATGTCATGTTTTCAGCATGTGAGGACTTCTCCTGCAGATGGAGTTTGTTCTGCAGTCGTCCCGATGTGCTTCCCTGTTATTGAATCGATGATTCTATATTTTTGATCTGAAAGTTCTGCGTTTTCTTCTCACTGGACTCTATTGGTGTTCCTGTTTAAGGACTTTATTTTACGGTGTCGCATCTTCAGAAAGAGGGAGATAGAAGGGAAGTGCTGCCTATTATACTGGGACTTGTTCAGAGAGGGACCTATGTTACTGTATGTTCATTATTTTTTCATTCTGTTTGTATCCTTTGCTGCTATTGGTGGACAGTAAAAAAAGGGATATGCAATATTCGCCTCCATGTCTTTAATAAAATCATGACTTTTCGTCATGTAATAGCAAAATCATGCAATTTTATATCTTCACTCTTGTACATTTATTTATAATTTTACAAGTACATGTAGGACAGTAGGATGATTTTTATATTTTAGAACTGGTTGAATATTACATATCCTTGCATTTTGTTCCAAATCTATCCAAGCTTTATCTGATTTATTCCAAGTTATTGCTTGGGACAGGTGTACTGAATTATAGTATTTCTCTGTAGAGCATAACCCTAGGCAACTTCTATTTTCCAGGTTAATTAAATAAGAATACATCAGCCATGGTTTTTCCATTTCCAGAGAAATTTCCTAATTAGTCCCTTATATAACAAAACAATCTTTTAGGAACATGAATTGGTAATGTTTGCATTACAAATAAGATCCTATGGAATTTTTTGGCGCTATATAAATAATAATAATAATAATAGGTGTCCTGTTCATTTTAAGTACGTTCACTGTACCGAGCCATGAACTTTTCCTAACTGCTGTCCTATTTCTCCTCTTCCATTTGCTTTCAAGCGCCTTGAAATACTTGTTACACACTATGTGAACTAAAATTTTTTACTTGACCTGCTTCAGTTTGGCTTCTGCTCCCAACATTCCACAGAGACTGCCCTGACAAAGTGACTAATGATAGCTAAATCTAAAGGCCATTATTCACTAGTTATTCTTCTTGATCCTTCTGCCACTTTTAACACTGTTAACACTTCTCCTCCTCACCATTCGCAACATTGACTTTGGTGACATGGTAGTTCTCTTCCTACCTCTCTGACCTCTCATTCAGTGTCTCCTCCTCTGGCTCCTGCTTTCCTTCAGTACATTTCTCAGACTGAGTTCCTCAAGGCTCTGTATCTTCTATTTTCAGTTGTATACATCCTCTCTCGGTGACCTAATGTCATCCTATGGCTTTTAATGTCACCTATACGTTGATGATACCCAGATCTACCTCTCCTCACTTGATATTTCTTCCCGGAGCTTATCCTCTGACTGGATGACTTCATGATTACTAAAACCCAAACTTTACAAGACTGAACTTCTTGTCTTTCCTCCCTCTAGGAGTACATCTGTGCCTGTTTCCATGAAGGCGAACAGAACTATTATAGCCTGGAGGCACGTTGCCTTGGTGTGCTCATTCTGATCTTCCCTTTACCCCTCATATAAAATCAATCACTAAAACTTTTTTTGTTCACCTTAAAATGGCAAAACAGTAATATCTCACGTTTGCCCTTTTCTCACTCTGGACACAACCGAGTGTGCCCAGAGTGAGACAAGATAAATCTCCATGTTCTCATTGTTTTCCATCTTGATTATTATAATTCTCTGCTTATGCTCTTGTACAGTGCCCAGATTGCCACTTTACAGTACACAATGAACACCTCTTCCAGACTCATCTACATCGGGCAAAGTCACAGCATTGGCTTCCTGTTTCATTTAGGATTCTTTTCAAAGTTATTGTGCCTACCTACAAAGCTCTCCATAACCATCTACTTGTTTGCATTTCATCCCTCATTAGCAGATATCTTCCAGCCTGGCCTCTTCACAACGCCAAGGACCTATTACAATCCCCTTCTGGCACACAGATTTTTGCCTGCAGAACTTCTCCAGGCATCTTCCCTCCTTTTGGAATGCCCTCCCACTGCACATTTGACTTTCCCGGTCTCTGCAGTTCTTTAAAAATCCTAAAAAACACACATGTTTAGAGAAGCCTATCATCTCTCCCTCCTCCTGACCATGCCTCCCATTCCCAGATACTTGCAGATCACCCAATTCCATCACTTCCCTTTTTAATGTCCCTCTGCCTATAAGATTGTGAGTTTATTTGGGCAGGGCCCTCTTCACCTACTGTTCCCATATGTCAAACATGTTTCGTTAGAATTAATTCAAAATGAATTCACTCTAAGTAAGTTAATAGCTCCATGTCCTGTATCCAACAAGAAAAGCAAGGAGTTAGGGGAAGACTTAATAGGGAACTGTATGTATTGTTAATTACACTATTGTATGCTAATGATTCTCTGCTTGTATAAATACCAGCTGTATCAAATTCAGTTCTGTTTAATCCTTACATGTAGTCTCGACTCATGGTGTTGGGTAAAGGCTGTATCACTTGCTACATTTGACCTTAAAATGATGATTAGATTACTTCAAGATGGGCACCTGACCGCTCCTAAAGGCACTGAGTACTTTGACTAAGCAAGGCAATACCAAATAGAGTAGGAAGCACAGACGTAACGGGGGTACTCACCCGGGTTACCAGCAGGCTATTACACTCCCAATTAAAAAAAAAGTTGTTCTTTTTTTAATGGGGAGCTACCGATTGACTTTCTTAGAGCATCAGATGACCACTTTAAGCCAATCAGCAGCACTCCTCAACAGCAGTAATCCAAGATCCCCCTATCTGAAGCACATAAACTGAATGTGGACAGTGAGGAAATATCTTGGAGTGTCAACTTTGAAGTTAAACAGTATGTGAATGGTTTAACTCCTTCAGGTAAGAAAGCACCAGTAACTTCCAGGCACCATAACAACTTTATTTTGATGAAGTTGTTCTTCTTCCCGAAGTGTTCCTTTAACTAAATGTTATTTACTTTCTTTTTCATACACGCACTCTTAAAGCAATTCTTGCTTTCTTCTTCATTCAAGGCAGTGACAACATTCCAATTTCAAATAATTAAAGGAGCTGGATTTAAAAGAACAAAAGTAATTGACAACTTCATATTTCCATTTCATTTATTAAGGAAGTTACATGTTAACCATATATGTTATGATTATGTTATCTACACCAGGCTCATCATTAAAATGAGAGCAGGTGATTGTCATATTAATAGTAAGTTAATCAAACGTAGGAAGCGACCAAAGAAAGCAAATTCAGGACTATGCCAGGGAGAAAGTTAAGCAGTGATTTCGTTCTCAACATTAATTGTCACATCAAAAACTTTTAGGGTCATTTAAAAAGAGTTATGGTATGTGCAATTAGCATACTTACTGTTCAAACTAAACACTGTACTGTTGTATACTGTGTATGCACTTCAGTATTGGTTCATTTAAAAAGAAACAGAACATACCATATTTTTAGGTACAATTACTCAAATATATAATGAGGAACATATATTCTCTCAAGATCACCCTTTCATATAAAAGCTGAAGACACTCATTTGATGATTGCTGTGAATAGTATTAATAACTTGGATAATCTGTACTCTAAGTTAAACATCTTATCCAGTACCCTGCTTAAAGAATGGTATATTTTCCATAATATAAGAAAACAACAGATACTCATTCTTACCAATCTTTTAAAGCAAGGCATAAAACCTCTGTTTCTAATCAAACATGAAGTCCCTTTGCATCATTGTCGAGTGATTAATTATTACACATATTCTAGATAAAAAGGGAGGCAAGCATAATTGTGCTATCCTCTCTGATATAAAAATAAAGGCTTACAAAACCTAAACATAAATACTTGCAAAATGGATAAATAAATATTGTTTTTTTTCTTTTTCATTTATATTTTCTTATTTTCAGTTTCTTTTTTTAATTCCAGTTACATTTTAGCAGCTACTAGGTCAGAAAAATCATTACAAAAAAATATAATTACAAAATGCAGTTTAAGAAGAAAAATAGTATTAGTTTTTTCACCAAACCAGGAATTGTGAACAAATAACCAGGGGATTAAAATCAAAATATAACTGTTAGAGAATTTCTCCAATTTGTCATTTTGGCTCAATTAGTATTCTCTTTGATTGTAATTCATTTCCTGGGTTAGTGATTAAACTCCCTTAAGTTATTATCTGGTTTGTGGCTTACATGACAGATTGGCTGAGGAATTGAAGTGGGTTAACTTACGGTATGAGAAAAATTGACTTTCTTTTGGATACATATGTGAGTACAAAGAGATAGTACTGGAGGAAAACCATATTATTGGTAAAAAAAAAGTGTTGGCCTACATCTCCAACACCAGAAAAAAGCAGGTTGGCTGTCTTTTATGTCTTAAAAAAGTGGGCCAAATTTATTGAGGTGATACATGTAAACTTATATAGTTCTATAGCGTTGCTTATTAACGTTACGTCTCTTGTTGACTTCAGTGAGAGACAGAGGATTGTCTAAGATATCCAAGTGATGACCTGGCTGAAGAGGAAATCGTAGGATTTGTTATAGGAGAGATACTCTCTTAGAGAAGTCTATCTTTTTGTTACTGATGAGGAAAGGCTTAGCACAAGGAGGTTTATTCATTATAAGCAGTCATAGGAGGGAATGGGGTAGGCAAAAAGGTCTATGGGCATGAAGAGGAGGGAATGAGTTGAATAATCAGTTGGCTGTGGTTGGAGAAGAGCGAGGGGATAGGTTATAAGGTGAATGAAATGAGAGAGGAGGGAATCGTTGTGGCAGTAAAGGGACTGGGCAAGGAGGACGGTGGAGAGGGTCTGGGAAAAGCAAGGATAGATCTTGGAGGGGAGAGAAAATTAGTCTGGTGATGTGTGATTGGGGATTCAGTGGAGCGAGGGGGGTTACAAATAAGGTGATTGAAGAGGTAAGATGTCTGAAGATTTGTCTGGCTGGGGAAGAAAAGCAGAGAAGATAAAGGACAGAGATATATATTCTAAGAGGTGATGAGGACTGGAGATATGGCTGGCTAGAAGAGAAGGTAGTAGATGTGGCTGACTGAGTATGAAAGGGTATAGGAGATTGGTGGGGAGAAAAAAAAGGGAAAAAGGAAAGAGAATTAATTTCGGAGTATAGGGGTGAAAAAGTAACTGTAAACGATACACACAGCAGCTCAACCAGCTATCAGCAATGTTGATGCAAAGTGTTGGCACATTGGAGCGATGTACATATGATACAGAGCATCCTAAGTAAAATTGCTGCTGGGCCGGGACTCGGAGATGAAGAGACAGGGACTGGAAGAGAAGATGGATTTGCCTTATTGGTCAAGGATGCTGAGAAATGCACTACAATATGGAAGGTTATTAGACTAATATCATTGAAATGGGACTGCAAAGGAAAGGCAATATGTTTTTTGCAGTTTTCAAATTGTAATTTAATGTGCATGTATCATGTGCCCATATTCTAATATTTGGCTGGACATCTATTTCCCATTTGTATAGCTAAATTCTGCAATATGAGAAAAAAATTATTTGTAAAAATGTATTTATAGTGTACACCTGTTTATGCATTTATACCAAAATACATTCATTCATACACAAAGTACACATTCATGTACACATACCTCATATATAACTACATGCAACATACATATATGTAATCACTGCATACATTCATCTACTCACAATATACATGCATTCCCCACGCTATATATATATATATGCCTCTGCACACTACATATATCTATTCTACACACGTAAATACATGTATGGTACAAGCTGTGCATCTACACAACAAGCCTCACACTACACACAGAAATAATTTTTTTTAGAATACTAATTATACACAACATTCACATATGGAAAAACACTGCACACATGCACATTTTCATATCAGAGGCTTTTATATGTGCGGTGTTTGGAGTCATTTTTCAATTTTTGTGGCATTAAATTTTTTTTAAATTACATTTGTAATTTGCTACCTTCTTTTTGATCAACAGCAGAGCCACATATGGAAATGGTGGAGCCATGTTCTTTGTAACATTGAAAGATTTACGAGAATAATTTTATTATTTAGAGGAAAAAAAAATGAGAGATCTACTATGAACTTTCGTAATGCATGATTTTTTAAAACTGTCGTGATTTGCCAAACCAGTTGTCACAGAGGGGTTAAAAAGAGATAAACAATTGCAAGTATTTTACAACTGGTCCAAACTATGTTTACACACTTTGCCGTTTCATTAGTTCATTAGCCCTGCCAGGATGGACTGGCTTGTTTGTTAATAGTTCAGCATTGGGAGAAGATAGAATTTTTTCTATAAACAAAGTGTTGATTTTTTTCCATTGAAGTGCTAGTACACACAAAGCATGACAGTTCTTGTTTATGTTCCCAGTGAGAGGACAGAAGGATGGACATCACAAATATCAAACCACTTAGAATTGATTTTCTTTTTGGGCCACAGTCCATTGAGAGGCAACGATGAATTGGCCTGTCTTTCTTGATCACTGACCACTTTCCAGAAGTACTTGTCTTTAATAAAGTATGTTGACATATGAGTGTAGGAAAAATAGACAGCATCGATGTAGGCTTTAGGATGATCTGTGGGATCAACTGGCGGAAATACATCAATAATGCGTTTGGGGTAATGCTCCACTTTTTTATTCCTTTCAATACTAAACGCAGTTACCTAAGAAGAGAACAGTTTCAAAAAGCAAAGAAGATTTTAAGGTTCTGAGAGTGCAAGCAACAGAAGAAAACTGTAACAAAGACAATATTAATAATGAATTAATTCATCATTTGCATGCATAGAAACGTAACTATACTACTCTTAACTAGGATTTGTTAACGAATTGACCTGGTCAGATCTCATAGAAAAATGCACACTTCACCTTCCTTATTTACAAACACTTTACTTTTACCAGCTTCCAGGCTACTTGAGAAGCATGCCTGGTCCAGTTATGTAAACAAACTATAATCTCCAGTCCACTGATAGCACTTTCTTTAGCTAACATTTCCACCCCACATTTCTTAAAGGAAATTGCCATATCCACCTCTATAGTTCTGGAGAGTTACAGCATTTTAAGTCTATGAAAATATCTGCCTCGTATATTCAATTGAAATGGAACTGCAATTTCTGTATAATTAATTTGGAATGGCATTTTCTACTGTATGTGCAAAGTTAAATATTTATCGTATCCACTGGTCTACTATTAAAAGGCCACTATAGGCACCCAGACCACTTCAGCTCAATTAAGTGGTCTGGGTGAATTGTCCCAGGTCCCTTAACCCTACAAAGGTAATGATTGTAGTTTTTAATAAACTGCAATAATTACCTTTGTGGGATAACTCCACCTCTAGTGACCACTATTGGTCGCCTGATGCTGGACATCCACACGCATAAGGGCATGCAGCGTCATTTAAAACCCCATAGGAAAGCATTATACATGCGAGCATGGGCATTGCCGCGAATGCACATTAGGTCTCCCTCCCAGGAACGGGACATTTCTCGGCGCTAGTCTCAGGTAAATTAGAGCAGTTTTAACCCCTTCTACACCGGGCAAGGAGGAGGGGGGATTTTAGGGGGTTATAGTGCCAGCAAACAACTTTGCTTTTCTGGCACTAACGTTTCCTTTTAACAATCATACCCCCAAATTATTATATATCTCTTCTGTCTCCCTAAACATGATATGACTGCTGCAGAGCAGCCAAACAGGACCCATGTGGAATCATGAGGTCTGTTATTGTGTAACTGGCATAGAAGTATTGTGTAACATGATACCCCTATATCTCTCATCCTAACGACCATTGATCGTTTCCCATACCTACAGGTCAAGTCCTACTACTCCACATCGGCGACCAAACGACAATTCCACCGAGATCTCACACCCTTTGAGAAACTATGCACGACCAGGCGACACCTGGAATGGGGGATCTCGATGCTGTACGCAATGCTTATGGATGGAGAAAACAGACCGCTGCCGAAATTCATCGCCAGATGGGAGAGAGAGAGACTGGAGATACCCTGACTACCCAAGAATGGGATCAAATATTCCTGCTCACTCATAAAAGCTTCATTAGCTCAAAATACCAGGAGATGAGCTACAAGGTACCGACGACCTGGTACAGAACCTCTGATGTGTTGCACCGCATGAACCCGGACGTCGAAGAGACATGTTGGCGATGTGGGGAGGAGAGAAGCACTATGCTTCATATCTGGTGGACATGCACAGCCATCACACCCTTCTGGGAGATGGTTAACACCAAAATCTGTGAAATATCGGTTCCGGAGCTCCCACTCCAACCCCTCCCAATGTTGCTACACCACACGAGCATGTCTTTAAAAACTCATAAGAAATCCTTGACGAAACACCTGCTGACAGCGGCAAAGTCCCTGATACCCACTCTATGGACAAAAACTGCTGCCCCCACCTTCCAACAATGGGTGGATAGGGTAGAAGAAATCCATACCATGGAAATTATGACAGCATCCCTCCAAGGCCGCACAGAGAAATGCAACCTGACGTGGACCCCCTGGCTTATGTACATTGCCGCAGACAGAATAACCCCCTTGAAAACTATACTCAAGCCATGGTCCTCATCTCCCCCCCCCATCTTTACACTGCCTCTACCACCTTCTCTCAGCTATACCCCCCTTCCTTCTCTTCCCTCCCTCCTCCCTCCCCCCCCACACCCCAGACTCAGGCCCGACATGCCCGCCCCACACCCTATACTGGACCAGAACGCGCATTAAGCGAATAATTGTGCACAGACAAAGGAGCGGCCAGCGGACGGAGCTCCACACAGACAGGAATTGCCTTAGATACCCCACAGCACTTGATCACACACATAGCAGACGCTACGATAGGCCCTGGCACATGGGCGCCCCTGCCCGACCAACCTACACACAGGCAACAACCCCAACATAATGGGCACACTCAAAAGGCGACATGGCGACCTAAGCAGTATCACCTAAGGTAGAGGGAACACCACACATATAGCGACCAACCATCTGCGAATGGGTCGGGACTGACAGCCCGGATAACACGCCTGTCCCCAATACGAGGGTGCACAAACGTGGCCTGTTCCCACCCCATGCACAACCGCAGCCCACTCGACCTACCTGTGGTCTCACACCTGACATGTACACCCTCACTGCCAAATGAAACAGAACCATTAAAAAAAAACATGGGTGAGATGTACAATGATAAGACGCAAAAGACCCACGCTACTACGAAACAATTTAACAAGCAATTAACGCTACTCTGGCCATCCAACCTCAACAGCATGAAGTCAAAATACTACTGTATATCTTCGCATGTACATATATCTGTTAACCACAGTTAATGCGTGTCCTGAACACCAATTTGACCCCCCCACCCTTTACTCTTTTCTGTACCCCCACCTGATCTTGGAAACAAACAAACAAACAAAAAAAAAAGGATAAATAAAGATTGTCAAAAAAACAAAACAAAAATATACTTACGCACATCTCACATTTGTAATATTTTCGAGTTAACTAGGCCACTTACATTATTTTCTGAGAAAAAATAAATGAGACGATCCTTCCTGTCAAAGAATGCTGCATCCACAGGATTTGGAACTCCTGGAAATGCCTCAGAAATGAGTTGCGGGTACTTCTTTTTTCTCCAATCTTCTGTAAATGCCATATCCTTCTCTGGGTCATAGCGCCAGACTTGTGCGCCTTAAAAAAAAACAAAACACAACAACAAAATAAAATCTACGGTTATCATTCATTTCGATTTTTCAGATCACCTTCCTCTTGCATTTAAATGTGTTCAAATGTGTAGATTACAAGTGAATTTTAACAACCTCCCAACATGCTTAATGCGCTCTATTCTTTAAATACTTTTTTTGGTGGAATCTCCAGATGTGAATACCAAAATAAAATACATAATCATCAGCACATGGCTGAAAATCAATGTATGTAGATAACCTTAAAGGAATACTTTAGTGTTAGGAATACAACGCTGTATTTCTTGTGCGTCTATTTGTGACGTATTTCCGGTTTGTCAGTTAGTACGTATAGCGTTCCAACCTGGAACACACGCCGAACACAGATGGACCGTATCTTTTGTTGATGCCGGTGGTATTTAATCAGAAGAATTGCAGAATGCCCATTCATATCCCGGAAGAAGTCCACTACACATGACGAAACGCGTTGGATTGTTGGACTTTTATTTTATATTTTTTCTGCCATTATTGCTGTTCCGCCTTTTGGTTACTTGTGGGCTGCTCCACATTCCAAGATATCAGAGGCCTCTTTTGAAATTACCACTCTGAGCGGAGATATGCCTTCTTTTTACCTTTTGTTTGTAAGTGCAATACAATAAATTATTTATTTATCATCCTGTCATATAAACACCCTCAATCCTGTCACATTCACCTCCCCTCGCCCTGTCACACTCCCTCCTTCAACCATGCCAACCATTACCCCCAATTCTGTGATATTAACCCCCCCAACCATGCCCCACTTACCCTGTCACATTAACCCCTATAATCCTGTCACATTCACCTTCCCTCGACCTGTCACACTACCTCCTTCAACCATGCCACATTACCCCCAATTCTGTGATACTCACCCCCAACCATGCTCCACTTACCCTGTCACATTAACCCCTCTAATCCTGTCACATTCACCTCCCCTCACCCTTTCACACTCCCTCCTTCAACCACGCCAACCATTACCCCCAATTCTGTGATACTCACCCCCCCAACCATGCCCCAGTTACCCTGTCACATTAACCCCTCTAATCCGGTCACATTCACCTTCCCTCGACCTGTCACACTACCTCCTTCAACCATGCCACATTACCCCCAATTCTGTGATACTCACCCCCAACCATGCTCCACTTACCCTGTCACATTAACCCCTCTAATCCTGTCACATTCACCTCCCCTCACCCTTTCACACTCCCTCCTTCAACCACGCCAACCATTACCCCCAATTCTGTGATACTCACCCCCCCAACCATGCCCCAGTTACCCTGTCACATTAACCCCTCTAATCCAGTCACATTCACCTTCCCACGACCTGTCACACTACCTCCTTCAACCATGCCACATTACCCCCAATTCTGTGATACTCACCCCCAACCATGCTCCACTTACCCTGTCACATTAACCCCTCTAATCCTGTCACATTCACCTCCCCTCACCCTTTCACACTCCGTCCTTCAACCATGCCAACCATTACCCCTAATTCTGTGATACTCACCCCCCCAACCATGCCCCAGTTACCCTGTCACATTAACCCCTCTAATCCAGTCACATTCACCTTCCCACGACCTGTCACACTACCTCCTTCAACCATGCCACATTACCCCCAATTCTGTGATACTCACCCCCCAACCATGCTCCACTTACCCTGTCACATTAACCCCTCTAATCCTGTCACATTTACCCCCCTTTGCCCTGTCACACTCCCTCCCCCAACTATTTTACACTCACTCCCCAATCTTATCACACTCACCATCCTTCATTCTGTTACACTCACCACCCTGTAACACTCACTGTGCAACAGTTACCCCTTTACTCATACTGTCACAGTCAGCCTATGAAGACATTAATCATACATACACAGTCATTAAACATAGCTTTGCGATATATCACAACACACAAAGGCCACAGGCAGCTCTCCATACATACAACTTACTGCAAGCAGCTACCCCACACACATACAGTCCCAGAAACACATTCTCACAGAGACATACATTCACACACTAGGATACTATCTGTCAGACAATCTCAGGCTTATACATGGGTAGACAGTGCCAGAAACACTCAGAAATACAGAAAGCCAGATACCCATTGTGACTGGTTATCTGTATTTGTCAATGTGTATTTTTCTGTGCATCAGTGTGTTTGCAGCTTAACTGCCATTGCCTGTATTTACTGGCTGTTTTGGCATATTATATTAAGAAGATTACTTATGTTTAGGTATATACTCAATCTTTGAGGAGTTAAGCAAACTTAACTCCTCAAAATAAATTATCTCGCCATTATTGTAGTTTAATTAATAACTGTAAAGAAACAACAATTCTTCTCATTGCAACTGTATTCTATAAATTCCAAAATCTAGTATGCCTAAATTCTCAAAGAAAAGGAGTTGTGTGACTCCCAGCAATATCCCACAACACAGTTTCTTCTTTTAGTAATTACTAACTATTTAAAATAATGTTTACCAAGGAACTGTTGCTTCTCTGGAATTTACACCATTCGATATAAGACTGAAATTCACCTATAACTTCTGCTAAGCTTTTTCATGATAAATACACACATATATATATATATATATATATATGATTAGTAGCATCCCCTGGATATGGGGCAACATCCCCACGACGTACTTGAAAACCAGAGCAAACTGAATGTTCCTTTCCTGGTTAAATACTTTGTTATTATTATTATTATTATTATTATTTAGACATGTGCAATTCGTTTCGTGCTTCCGAATGTCTGAAGTGCCAAATTTCGGAATGCCGAACCGAATTGTCAAAGTGCTGAATTTCCAAAGTGCCGAAGTTCCGAATTTCGGAATGCCGAACCGAATTGCTGAATTTCCGAAGTGCTTCGGATTTCTGAAAAGTGGAAAAACAGGAGAGGGTTGGGGTAGGGTTAGGAGTTGGGGTATGATTCAGGTTAGTGGTTGGAGTCGGCTTTGGGGTAAGGTTAGTGGTTGGGGTTGGGTTAGGTAACCCTAACCCTAATCCTAACCCTACCCCTAAGCTAACCTTACTCCTAAACCTAACTCTGCTCCTAACTCAACCCTATCCCTACCTCTAACCCTAAACCTACCACTAGCCCTACCCTAACCATATCCCCACCTACCACTAGCCCTACCCTAACCCTGCCTCTAACCCTACCACTAGCCCTACCCTAACCCTACCCCTAAACCAACCCTAACCCTACCCCTAACCTAACCCTCCCCTACCCCTACCCTAACCCTACACTTGTCCCGAAGTCCCAAAGTTCAGAAGTGGCGAAGCTCTGAAATGCCGAATTTTGGAATGCCGAACCGAAGTGCCGAAGTCCAAAATTTCGGAATGCCGAACCGAACCGAATATTTTTCCCATACACATCCCTATTATTATTTAGCAAATGTCCAGTACAGACATGGCAAATTCAGAGAGAAGAATAAATATTGTTTTGTTTTTCAATTATCCTGTATGTTTTATTTGTGCTGACCACCAGGAGCAAAGGACAGAGCTTATAACAATGTTTGACAGGGAGTTAAGATGGCTGTGCCCAGTTGCAGGATGAAGAGGTGTCGATTTCTAAAATTAAAAGAACACCAGAAAAACTACAGCTTATTGTATTTGTTCTGGTGAGAATAATCATTCCCTTCAGGCTTTTTGCAGTAAACATTGTATTTTCAGAGAAAATGCAGTGTTTACATTAAAGCCTAGGTAAAGCTCCACTGGCCATTCCTCAGATGGCTGGTAGAGGTGCTTCCTGGGGCAATGCTGCAGACAAAGCAGCACTGCCATTCAGTGTCTCCACCCTCTGCATGCAGACATTGAACTTTTCTCAGAGATTTATTAATTCAACTTATCTTTATGAGGGGATGCTGATTGGCCAGGGCTGTGTTTGACTTGTGCTGGCTCTGCCCCTGATCTTCACGAGGACCAGGAAAGCAATGCTATGGAGATATGCCAATGGATGGCTCCTCCAGCCCCACACTGTTATAGAACCGACACATAGTCTATCGATGTGGACGCTCCAGGTGCCCCAGTCAACAAATAATGTGACTTTTACAGGGACGCAAATCAAGTACAAAGGTTGTGGGTCATGTGATAGGAGTTTACCCTACAGGCGCACGGCCTAGGTTGGTGGCCGCGTAAAACAGGCAGCTGGAATGCCGAGACATGGTTGGCTGGTCCAGGATGTACACTACAGCATGTTTGCTTGATTGTAAAGTTTACAGTGAGCTGTGCAAGCCAAGAATCATGTGCAGCTTTCATCAAGGTCTCATCAAATTCATCCATTCTTGGCACTTGTATGGCGGAAGTACTCTATAATGCAGGCATTGCAGACGTTGTAGGTACAGGCTGCATATCCAATGCAGTACCGGACAAACCATAACTCTCCATCTGATGGATATACTCACCACACCAGTGGAGCCTGGGATAACCGCCACTGATCCAAAGGGGGAGGGCATGGGGCAGACACTATACTGAGGCTGCTCAAGTGCAGGGAATCTGTATAATTCCAAAATTCGCATAGGCTGTAGGTAGAATTTGAGCCGTTACTCAGTCCAGATAAGGGCTGGAGTGTGTCGTCAAGGACTGTTGAAATTTATGTTAAGCGACAATAGAAACATCTGATCTTGCAGATGGCTGTGCCTCCTTACTTAATTAGCTCCATGTGCTAGTGATTGTTTGTTAGTTACATGCTGGTCAGTATCTAACTTCTATTTCTGTCTAGAAGCCTTGCAAGACCTGCTAAATGTCCTGGGTCCCTGTATCCACACCAGCTGGTAGTGTAAGTAACTGCAGCTGTCTAACTCAAGGGCTCAACCTGTGAGGCAAGCAACTGTAAAGGCAAAGATCCATGGGAAATATAGACAAAGGGAGAGTTTTACGTTATATAAAGTTATTCCCCTACCTTTAAAAAAATACTGTGCATCAATATTCCAGTTCCACACATGTACATAGGCATCAATGCCTTTCGCTGGAATCCCCATCCAACCTGCTGTGATAGGCCGAGGATCACCAAACCGTGTCCGGTTGCCATTGTTCTCATACATCCAATACCAGCCAGTCTTAAAAAAGTAAGTATTGAATCTATAAATCTCTCCTCGTGAAGTCCTCTCTTTTCTCACCCAGTCAAAAACAGTGCTGAAACTCCCATCACAGGAACCTGGTAATGACAAAGGAATAGTTTTTAAACAATAGCCAAGTAGACTGTATCAAGAAGATTGTCAGAGGTGGTAATAACAGACAAGGCAGTTTACAAATTTCTCTTAGTACAGAGATGGCGAATCTCTGGCCCCTGTCTAACCCCTTGGAATTGGGAGGTTGCTTATGGTTGCCTTATAATGCTATGTGTATTATTGTAATTTAAAGCTAGAGCCCAACTTGCAAACAAAGCATTTATTTGTTTTATTCCCTGGAAAGACAACCAAGAAAAACTTGACAATGAACTACAAGAGTGTCAGCGAATCACATTTTCTTTTAGACCAGGTGGATGGTCAGATGCATATGCATCGTTTACTTGGGGAAGAGATTGCAGCAAGATGCACCATGGGAAGAAGGCAGGCTGGTGGACGCAGTGTTATGATCCTGCCAATGTTCAGCCGGGAAACCTTGGGTCATGGCATTCATCTGGATGTTATTTTGACATGTACCACCTACCTTGAGATTGTTGCAGGACACGTACACCCCTTCATAGCAACGGTGTTTCTTAAGGCAGGGGGCTCTTTCAGCAGAATAATGCACCCTGCCACACTGCAAAAATTGTTCTGGAAGGTTTGAGGAACATGGCAAAGAGATCACAGTATTGCCTTGGCCTTCAAATTCCCCAGATCTCAGTCCAATTGAGCATATTTGGGATGTACTGGAACAACAAGTCCAATCCACGAGGCTGCACCCTGCAACTTGCAGGACTTAAAGGATCTGCTACTAATGTCTTAGTGCCAGATTCCACAAGACACTTCAGGGATCTTGTGGAGTTCAAGTCTTAATGTATCAGAGCTGTTTTGACAGCACAAGGGGGACCTACACATTATTAGGCACTGCAGGTGGTTTCAATGTTGAGGTTGATCAGTGTATAGTTCGTTTTTCAGTATTAGCTTAAACAACAGTTTCTTCTATTTGATCTATGTAACTGTTAAAGACTTAAGTGTCGAATTGAATACCCAAAAATGGCATACCTTTCATTTGGAACACTGAAACGAAAAACTTGGAATCTATAAAATAGTTATTTTGTATTATTTTACCCATATTTTAATATATTATTTCTCTAATGCATGAAATACTTGGAACAATCTCTAGCCTTAGGTGCTTTGTTTGACTTACATGACAGGTATGATTTGTGTGATTTAGTGTGGGGTAATTTAAAAAAAAAATTGAGCCTAAACTCTAAAGAAGTGTATTAAGGCACTGAAGAAAATGTCTCAAATGGGGAGTTACGACAGATTTAACAATTTTAAACATAACTTAAATGTTTTTACTTCAAAGTTTTCCTATGTACAGATCTCATTATCTCTGTCTATCTTCGTGTAAAGGTTTGTTCAATAAGTGAAAAATATTTTTTGTAAAACACCTTAAAATATTGTAAAATACCCCATATCAAATAATTCTTAACTATTATGATGCACCGATTTCTACCAATAGTGACCCACTGAAATAACACGGAGGAGCATTATCTGGTTCCTACTCAAGGTTTAGATATACTAATTTACGTTGTGCTTCAAGCTAAACTGGAGAGCCAAATATTTTCATGATAGTGTTCATTTGGCATAATATTGGCAAATATTAATATATAATGAGTATAAATATTGCAGTCATCAGTGTCTAAGTCCAAGTTTAGTCTTAAAATATAAATGTTTGATGAACCGGTAATTATTCAATAGTTCTGAAGTCAAATTACTCTCTTGCCTTTCAGGACAAAGTTATATGTGTCTTTAAATTAAATAATGAAAAAGAATGGGGTATTTACATCCTCCTTTTCTTTTTATAGAGTTGCATATAATAGGCCCAAACAATCAAACTGCGAAGAAGCGCCACTTCAGAGATATTTTTCCAACACTTTTATTTTGGCTGGGTCACTTTACCATATTTCTCCTGGACTGCTTTTCTGTCTTCCCAGTTCAGCTCAAACTTCCCTTCTTGTGGAACATAATTTGGTTGCATCACTGACCCCAAACGGTTAATATGAGGCAGTCCAAGAGCATGACCGATTTCATGTACTGCAACCTGAAAAAAAATAATAATCAGTACATTGATTGTTGGCCTAAAATAATATAATTATTAAACAAAGCACAATTGTAGTCAATGCCAGGCAGAGATTGATAGCAGGTTTTGTAATACTAGACTATATTTTCCCATCTTCCTGTGATGCGAGCCAGCAAATCCATTAGATTTCTGTGTTTATATTGCCCACATTGAGATGAGATGCCTTTGCCCATGTATTATTTACAGTTAATCACTAAAGTATGAATTGCCAGAAATTCAAATTGAATTTAAAGTTTGAGGGCAAATTAGCTGTATTGGGAAAACTCTGCAAGTTAGTTATGGTTTTTTCATAATTCATTATTTTTTAAAAAAGTTCAGCATGGGTAGAATGAATAAAGATGAAATGGGCATAGCAACCACAACATGTGGAAAGAAAATGGCAGCATAATATATAGCGAAAGTAAGCGATACAGATTTAACCATTTAAGTAGACAGCATATATCAGGCCTAAACTTGAGCTGGACAGCATAAAAAAAAAATATATAAGTCAGCCAGTGTACTATGCCCAAAATAAAGAAAAAAATCAAAACACTTTTAATGGTAACACACAGCATATGCTTGAAAAGGAGGTAGAGGGTGACAATCTGCAAAAATAAGGCTAACTAAAGTCTGCTGGGCAAGGTTAACTAGGACCTCGATTTAATATTGTAGGATAAACTTTTAAAATAATTCAATAGTATGGAAAATATTCTAATTTTGTAATATTTTGATAGTTATTGATATATTTTATATAAAATATATAATTTTGATATTTTAAGTCAGTTATATTTATGTTTAAAAATATTTTAAAAGTTTATCAAATCATAGGAAAAGCTTACCCAACAATATTAATTTGAGGCCTAAGATATAAGTATAGAAAGTGGTTGCTGAACAGAATCAAGTTGGAAGCTCTGTTTTCATTGGTGTGCTGGGTCCAAGGAAAAAGGGTAAAATTGCATTGACATTCCACTGGTGGTGCGCAAGGAGTCCACTGAGAGGCTCAAAGTATGGAGATAGGTAGAACGTCTGCCATAGAAGTAAGGAAGTAGGTTTTACCACTGTGCTCACCAGCTGTTAATGTTCCAACTAGTAGGAGATCTCCTTGTCTCGTAGAAGCTTAGTAAGCTAACGGTTACCAAACAACTGTTTGCCTGAACAAATCCATATAAAAAGATGTGACTCTTAAAATAACAAAATGGGATAGCTCCGAGAGGCTTACATAAGCACTGTCCTGTCTGAGTCTTTCAGGATCTTGATGGGTACATTTCTGGAAGCCTTTTGAGAGGCATTTAGTGTTGGGTATCCTGAAACAACCATCCAGTGAAAGCAGCTGAGCCTGTTTAGGCTGCTACATGTGCAGCTAATGCTGAATAAATTCTTCAAGACTGTGTGTATTGCAGAATTCATAGCCATTTGTGCAACACTAGCAGCTCCTTCGTCTTCCTCCACAGCAGCAATGTGGCCTGGGAAGGTGGCCACCTCCTCCCTGACTACCCCTAGGAAACATCGCTTGCATATCTTTCAGCAGAGCTTTAATGCCAGCTTTAGTAGAGGAGGCATTATTCTCCTGGGTCAAAGTGTTAGGTCTACTGTCCCATATGTTTGATGAAGTTGGTAAGTCATCTTCCAGACTGTAGTCCTCTGAGGAGGGTGGTGAGTAGGCCACATCAGGTGCCATCTTAAGTGAATCTGGAACAGTGCTCCTATATAATGGGATTCAGAGCTAGTATCTAGCATGGATCATAATTTAGTCAGTAATCAGCCGAATACTGGCCAATTTATAGGCAGGGACAAACAATAACGGCAAGTAAATTTACTATAGAAAGGCATGAAAGACAGAACTCACACAACACACCTCCATCTCAGACAGGCAATGTCTCCAACTCCAAGTCAGTTATATTTATGTTCAGTTCTTACTATGTCAGATTAAGAATACCACAATACCGTATCAGACTAAGAATGTATGTTTAGTCCATTCAAATAGAAATATTGTCAGTATCATGAAAAAAACTAGTAGTAACTACATTTCCTTTATTTAAAATGCATGCTCCATTTTGTGTTAAACACAAGCAACACACTAAATACATAAATAAAACAATATAAACAGTCCATTATGCATTTGATTATGATAAACTTAAAAAACAAATATATTAGTATCCATTTGCGCACAAGGTTATACGGACCATGCACACTAGTTATATATCAGTGGTGGGTACAATAATGTTAAGGATAGTCCCGAAGCTAACTAAGGTATAATGCATAATGGAAAAAACAAATTCACACCAAAATAAATAAAAAACCTTATTACAAATATAGCAATATAAAACTTAGCTATACATAAATCCATATCTCAAAAATACAAAACCTCCACAGTTATGAAATAGCACAGGATCAAAAAGCAAAAAATAAATAATCTAGTAATCAATGCTTAGTAAAGTGAATGATAAAGCATAGTAGTCAATGTAGTGTTTCCTTCAAATGTTAGTACAGAAAGGAGGCAATAACACATTTCAGTTATAAAGTCTTTGTCAAGTGCATATACTCTGACGTAACTTAAAAACAAACCAAAACCACCTTATTTGAACTGCTAGCACAGTCAGTAAAAAAAGGGGACAAACATTTTTTATATACATAAATGAGAAAAGGAAAGTAAAACAAGGATTAGTTACATAGTTGAAAAGAGACTTGCGTCCATCAAGTTCAGCCTTCCTCACATATGTTTTTGCTGTTGATCCAAAATATGGCAAAAATCTAGTCTGAAGCGCTTCCAATTTTGCAACAAACTAGGAAAAAAGAAACTGTACAGACGTGTATCTGTGGAGCTCCGCTTCACATCGAAGAATATATATAAACTACACCGGCATCTTCATCCGGAGAGGAACCCCCACAATCCCACCCCCCCAGAGACAGCATGGGGTGCAAGCACCGTAAATTTCAAGTACCAGAACTCCCTACACAGAGAGATATAAGGCTCTCATTCGAGCGGCCTACCCCGCCAGCGCCGCCTAAAATGGCGCCTGCAATAAGCCGAACAGGAGACACATCAGAAGACTCCCAAGAGGAGGCGGAGGAACCACTCACCTCTGCAAGGCAGAGCGACTTGCACCGGGAAGCTGAATCTGATGATGACTCGTCCCCAGCAACCAAGGGGGACATTAAACAAATGCTCCTGGAGATGCGCCAAATTTGAAAGTCGGATCTCCAGGAGATACGACAAGATATGGGGGTAATACAAACTAAACTCCAAGAGGTCGGGGAGAGAGGCAATGCCCAGGACACTCGGCTGCAAACCAATGAAAATACCCTGGACAGCTTAACACAGCAGGTTCAGAGGCTACAACGCTTGGTGGCGACCCTGGAGGCCAGACACATGCGCTGCAACATACGCCTGAGGGGCATACCTGAAACTGTCAAAGGAGGCGCACTGCTCCCGTACACCCAAAAGCTAATTACAACCATTGGCATGAAGGGAGCTGCAGACCCCTCGATGATTCTCACAGCGTTCAGGGTCAGGAAGGCACTGTCGGCACCAGAGGCAGAGACACCGTAATTGTTAACAGAGACATACCCGTACGAAATGCCATCATGGCATGCTCCAGAGCGATGGGAAGCGCGAAGGTGCCACTATCCTGTTCTTCAGCGACATCCCCTTTGCAGCACTATTAGAAAAACGAAAACTGGCCCCATTGGCCAAAGAATTGAGAGATAACTCGGTACGGTACTGCTGGGGAGCTGACGGAACCCTGATGGTGTCCCACGGCGACCAAATCCTCACACTTACCTGTGACGAAGACCCAGAGAAACTACACTGCTGCATAGCACAGAATGAAACACCGACAAGAGTGGGCACAAGCAGCTCCAACGGGAGATAGCAGGGAACAGCAGGGGAAGAGAGAGTGAGCACCCACCTTAGGACCAACAGCCTGGGAGTCCGCAGATTGTGACTACCAGAATATCAGGAAAAGAAGTGTACACCTGAGCTACCAGCATAGACCCAACCCATGGGACTGCCCTGACCCCTGACCCCCTACCACCGCACCGACCCATTACCCGCACACATACTCACCAGGTACCACCAACTTATCGCAGACCTTATAGCACTCGCCAGATGGCGGTATCACCTGGACTCTGATATACACCACCGATAGCAGACAGCATGAGTTGATGTGGTATGCACAGAATACCCCATGCGCAATGCCCCATACATAACATTATATTATGTTAAGTTATATAACAGGACTTTTTTCCCTAACACCAATACTCTGATGTGAATGTTTTTGCCTATGTGCATAAAATTCAATAAAATACAAAAAAAAAAAAAAAGTAAAGACAAATAAGACAATGGGGCCTGATGGAATACACCCTAAGTTATTAAAAGAGCTTAGTGGTGTACTAGCAAAACCATTAATGGATTTATTTAACCAATCATTGTTAACAGGAGTAGTCCCAAAAGGTTGGAAGTTAGTGAATGTTGTGCACATTCACAAGGGAGGTAATAGGGAGTAGTCGGGCAACTATAAGTCAGTAAGCCTTACTTCAGTAGTGGAGAAAGTAATGGAAACCCTGTTAAAGGATAGAATTGTTGAACATCTAAAATCACATGGATTTCAAGATCAGAGACAACATCGGTTTACTTCAGGGAGATCATGCCAAACTAATCTTATTGATCTTTTTGATTGGTTCTTATCTGCCATTACATTCTATGTTTCTATGTCAGTTTGGCATAACCGAAATTATATATGTAAATCAGAAGGAAAAAGAAAGACAATTTGGCATGATTGTTATACATAAACATTGACACATTTAGTAGCAATTACCAGAAGTCTATTAATAAGTCAGAATATCTCCAGGTAGAAAGTGGTTCTGTTGTTGGTGCACGCTTTGGAAGGATGAAGACACGGTGAAAGTTTCCACCTTTTGCAAGAGAGCAAAATCCAACTGAGTGTCTTTTCTACCTCAGAATGTTTCCTATTACAAGTGTTTCATGGAGAACCACAGTTATGGATGTATAAACTGCAGTAAAAGTGTTTTTTCTTTGGCCAACAAGAATATGTTGGGTAGTATGATGATTCCATAACTTGAGATGTAGATAACATATGTATTTGTGTACTAGGTATCACAAATTGAGCCAATGATGATTTTCAATATACACAGACTACCTAGGCAGTTTCTGTCCATTGTGATTTATAATTGTCTAATATTTCCCGGTTTCAGGTAAACTTCAACTTGTGCATCAAACATTTGTAGGCAAAGGATGCAAGTGTCAAACTCATCTTGTTGAAATAGTCACACAGGGAAGAGAAGGTCACATAGCTAGATATGAACATGTTACACAGTGGATATTTCGAGACCAGACTGAGGTGAGCAGGTATATCAATGTAAGAAAATTCAGGCTAAATTTTGCTTACCTTTAGAAGGCTGATCCCATGCTCACTCGATAACCCAACAAAATGTTCATCATCGTCAAAATGAATATCTCCTAGGTACCAGGCATGAGCAAATTGCTGCCCTTCTCCATCAAATGCCTGGGAGCAACCAAGGTGCTGTCCTGGTAGAAAAGACAGAATCAGGAGATAATCTTTGATGTGTATGGCTTCATAGAATATAGAATAATATGAGATTGTTTATTCAGGAACGATACACTTATTATTTAATATTCTTAAGTATGTCCTGGAATATAGATATTGTTACCTAATTTAGTGGAACTCATTTATTTAGCAATGCAGTAATAAAAAGTTTGTTTAAAGGGAAACTGCTACTTCCCAGGATTTTCACAATTATAATTTTTTTGCTGCCTTAAACAAATATGTATTTGAGGTCAGAAAAACAAAATTGAACATAAAAATCCACAGCAATATATTTATGTATATCTTGGAACTAGTTCCCTCACTCTTGTAGCAAGCTCTGCCCTTTTCTGCGATTTAACAGAGTAAACACAATGTGAATCCAGGATGCACTAGGGTTGAAATGGCTTGTGATGTCATTCACAAAACCTTCAATACATTTAGAGAAAATGGAGCATCACATGAAAAATATAGATAGACTCAAGACCAAACTTGACATGAAAGTTTGGGATATTTTTCTAAACCCTTTTCAAATATTACTGAACCCAAGATAGGTCCACATAAACTCACCAGCATCCCTAGTAATTTGAGACACTGGTTTTCAATGCACATTCAGTGCACAAAACCTTTTCTCTAGGTTTCTTAAGTCAGGAGAAACTCACTAATGACCTGCATCTGATGTGTTTTCTTCAAGGCAGCACTATAGGGACAGGAACACAAACATATATTTCTGACCCTATAGTGTTAAAACCACCATATAGCCCCCCTGGCCTCACTAAAAATAGTAAAATCTTACTTGTATTCAATTCTGCAGCTGCTACCTCTGCCCCTGTTTGCCTGTGAAACTGTCAGCTGCCTGCTGACATAATCAGAAGTGGTGGTCAGAGCCAATCACTGTGTTTCCCAAAAGGATTGGCTGAGACTGTCAAGGTGGCAGATCAGGGGCAGAGGCAGGAGAGGACCCAGGGGGAGCCCTTGCCAGCAGCTCTGCCGGGTTCCTCTCGCATGATCGGAGCTTTGCCGCGGCAAGCTCAGATCTCGCGAGACTGAACTCTAACCCCGCAGGTTGCGGGGCTAGATTTCACTCACCACTGGACCACCAGGGATGGCAGCAGCATGGTCCCCCCTACGTACAAAAGGTAAGAAGGGAGGGGGGATATTAACTAAACGGCACCCCCTCCCCCACACAATACACACAAACAGCACCCACACACATACATCATCCTTACACACACACTAGCAGCACCCTCACACTAACAGCACCATTACACACAGCACCCTTACACACACACAAACACACACACTAACATCACCCTTACACACACATACATTACCCTTATACACACATACATTACCCTTACATACACAGCACCCTTACACACACAGCGAACTTACACACACATCGCCCTCACACACACACACAGTGCTCTCACACACAGCGTCTGCACACACACAAAGCGCCTTCACACACACAGCACCATTACACACACAGCGCCCTTACACACACAGCATCCTCACACACACACAGCGCCCTCACACACACACAGCGCCTTCACACACACACAGCGCCTGCACACACAGCGCCTACACACAAAGCGCCTTCACACACACACAGCACCTACACACAGCACACTCACACACAGCAGTATATGTGTGTGTGTGTATGTATATATATATATATATACACAAACATTTATATATATATATATATATATATATATATATATATACACGGCGTGTATTTGTGCTTTAGGGTGCACACCCTTAAACAATAGGCTGCGCACGCCTATGGATATACTGATATGTTTTGATGCTCACTAGGCAAGACTGAGATAGGAAGCAGCTCTAGCAGCCATCTAAGGAGTGGCCAGTGGAGTTATCACTAGGCTGTAATGTAAACACTGCATTTTCTCTGAAAAGACAGTGTTTACTGCAAAAAGCCTGAAGTGAATGATTTTACTCACCAGAACAAATGCAATAAGCTGTAGTTGTTCTGGTGACTATAGTGTCCCTTTAATGCTTGTTCCTGATCTAAATACATATTGTATTTTAAAAGGAACCAACCTCATAGAATTCAGAGAAATTAGAAAGAATGTATTTACTGAGCAATTAATGTTCCTAGGAGCCTGCTTTCATGAGCTTTAAGTCAACAGATAGAATATTTTTTTTATTTCAGGGATAAACCCCTCGTGTTATGCAGAATAGAACTGTTTTAGTTATCACCTACCTGTGCCAAAACCAACCCGAATGTCTACATCATCTCCATTGAGGTCTTCTACAAATTGTAGAGGGATCACCTCACTCCACATCCGAAAAGCCTTCTTGAGTATCTGTCTCTGCTGTTCTATGGTCAGCTGCATGCTATACCCTTCTCCCATTAGCCTCCATTTAAGTGTGTTCTTAGAAAAACTCAAAGAATTGCTGTTTCCCAAAGTTCCTTGGCTATCTCGTTTCCTTCTGTGGTGTTCCACAATTTTGGAAAGCAAACTTCTCTTTTGTCGTTGGGTTCTCTCCATTTGTGAGTTATTATGCTGGGAATCTTTCTCCTCAGCAATGAGACTCAAAGTCCCATTTTTTCCACGTTTTGAAGGGGTTTTGTGATCAGGGACACCACAGCGGGGTTTGTTCATGGCTATCTTTGTAGCACTGTCAAGGATTCCTGTAGCATTGAGCCCATTAGCTTCCTGAAATTTTTTCAATGATTCGGAAAACAATGGGTTTAATTCAACCTTTTTGGTTGTGTTCAAACTATGCCGCTCTGAAGATTGTCCTTCTAATATCGCCTGCGAGACATCTTGTGGAGCTTGGTCAAACTCTGGGATTTCAGGGTAAGTCTGTTCTTCCCAATGAACTGGGGCCACCCAGCCATATTTTACAAGGTATTGCTAATGGTAAATGGGATGAAGATTGAAGAGAAGACATTAAAATTAGGTAGATCTGCAGCAGAAACCAAACTTCTATTAGGTCAACCAAGCTGGAAAGCCTACTTGACTATTTCTAAGTCAATAGTGTTATACTATCTATTTAGATCACCCCCCCTCCCCCAATCCCCAGAATTAATTTATAATGGGTTTCCCCTGATGGAGATGCTGAATGTCAAGGAATAGTGGAGGTCAGAATAGTCAGAGCATATCCAAGTTAAATAACAGATAATCAACCACATAAAGAACACACCATTGGGACCAAGGTGGAACCTCAATGGGTTAATGTGCTAAATGTGAGTAGTTTTAGTAATTGACACTCTACGTCATTATTGAGTGCCCAGAACGTGCCAAAACATTGTCACAGGAATGACGGAGGATGTTCGGTGTCACTTATTTGACGCTATAAAATGATGCAGACTCAGAATGCCCATCTTCAAAAATGATGCTGGAACTACGTGCATCAAAAACTATGCCAGAACAGCATGCATCTAAAATGACTCAGGTCTAAAGAGGCACTACAGCTACATACAGATAACTTGACATATGAAGGCTGTGTCCATCACAACCAGGGAAAGTGTGGCTAGATTGCATATACAGAAACAACATAATTTTACTCCTAAATGACAGATAACATAAATGAGACTGCAGGGGCATGATCTATACACCAAAACCACTTAATTAAGCCAAAGTTGTTTTTGTGCTTAGAGTATCTATTTAACATCGCACTCAGCAGTGTGTACCTATACTATTCTGTGTTTTTTACCTAGATGTCAAAATTATTATTTTTCCCTATTATGTTTGAATTACCTGGGCTTCCTCAGGGCTCAGGATAGGATCAGCTTGCGGATGATGTGGAAGCTCAATATCTGAATGATCTCGATTGTGGAATAGTCTCTCAGAACCCGCATCATCAAACAGAAGCAGCAGGAAAATAATAGCAGCCAGGATTGAGATTGTTTTCAGGCAATCAGCTTTCTCCATTCCAGCAGTGCCCATTCGTCTTGTATTTTCATAAGGTCAACAGTTGAAAAACTTGTCTTGTTGCTGGTAATTAGTTGAGCATAATATGTCATAGGATAAAAGCAAGATTCAAAATCACTGACTCTGTTAAATTAATCAGAGAGTTTTCACCTTACAAGCCTAAGTAGAAAATAGAGAGAAAATAAATAAATTAGAGGATTGGAGCAGGGATGTAACCTGGAATCTGAATGAAAGTTATTTAACCCCTTAAGGACACAGCTTCAGAAGCTTGTCTTATGCTTAATGACACAAGCAATTTTTGCATTTTGTTGTTGTTTGCGTTCAACTGCAATTTGCATTTTACTAATTTATTGCACCAACACATTATATACTGTTTTTTAAAGGACAGAAAGGGCTTTAATTTGATGTAACATATATATATATAAAAATGCTTATTTATTATAAGAAAAATACAGAAAAATGCAAAAAAAATTAGAAAAACCTTTTTTTTTTACAGTTTTTGCAATAATAATGTGTACATAATTAGTGCAGGTTAAGGAAAGTAATTAAAAATAAATTAATTTAGTTGTTCTGATATACAGAATATATAATGTGTCTGGGATTTTAAGTTTTTTTGGTAGTTACAGGTCACAAAGCACAAGGAGTAAAATAAACTTTTAATGTGGAGCGATTTTAGAATTTGGTATGTTTGTCTTGTAAGCTTAATAGCCATAAAAGAAAACAAAATTGCCACACAAAAGTATATATTTATATAAAGTAGACATCACAGGCTATTTACCTAAGGTTAGTTTGACACTTTTTACGTAGCCATTTCATTTCCAATCTCTGCTAAATATTGGAGTAAAATTGTGTTTTTTCTTTATTTTGGCATATACACATATAACAAAGAACTTCTCATGTGTATTTCGTAAAGCTGGTGTGCGCTATTCCTGCACATAACCCCATATATATTCAGCTACATCTGCTGAGTATAACGATACCCCCATTGTATACCTTTGGCACTTTTCTGTAAAGCTACAGTGCCATATAAGAGACAAGGCTATTCATTCCGACACATCTCTGACACAGAGCATTGTGCTGCCTGTCACAAATAGTTTTAATAGCTCCCATTGCACATACTGATCATCTTCTTTTAAGTGTTCAGTCACTCTACATCTGAGACCTGAGACACTAATGGTGTGAGTAGTTGAAAAGTTGTGAAACTTCAAACTGCATGATTGGGGCTGTGAATCTGAGGACTGATCTGATTTTGATATCAATCTGTTGTAATTTGTAATGATTGTTGATTCTGTTAACCATGTCAGCTACTTATTGGCTCCATATTATCCTCTGTAGAGTAATTATATTGCAAGCTGCAAATGTGATAAGGCGTCTATTAGTATCCTGCAGCTTTAACACTGTGTACACTGTGTGCTGAGATTAATGCTTTGATGCAGTTGTGATGAGCGCAGAGCATACGTATTTGGTGCCACCATCACCAGTACGTCGCGGGAGGAAGAGACATAGCTAGAGCTGAAGGAGCCTCGATGCTGGAAATAGATAAGTGAAAATGTTTTTTTTTAACCATTTATTACAGAATGGTGGGAGCAGACCTAATAGGTTAGGGACAGGGACATTATAGCATCATGAATACAGGTTTGTATTACTAACACTATAGCGCTCGTTTAAGGTAGGTAAAATGTATAATCCATATACTTACTGGAGTTTTTTGAAGGAACAATATATACATTATATCTATCCAAAGCAGACTTTGTCTTTGTCACACAGCAGAGTGGAGCACCCATGAGCAGCTAGCTCTGGTAAATGACTTCATGAGTAGCTCTGAAGAGAAGACTTCCCTACTTTATGCAGACCATCATTCAAAGCAATGCAAAGGAAAGCAATAACCTTCTGATTAGAAGAATGTTAATTTTAATTAAAGAATTTAATTAATTAAGCAAAAATGTGTATGCTTACAAGTTTAAAATATCTTGTAGATACCAGATGCTGTTGGATGTTTTTTACTAAAAACTACCAACAGCATTCTATGGTCCATTCTTTTATTTAATGTCTACACATCCGCCTCATAACATAAATAAGAAATACATTGTAAAATAATTGGATATTTTGTATATTTTTAATATAGATTTGGTTATTTTTAATAGTTCATCATTTAACTTTTTGCTTTATTTTGTAAATGTTTCCTACATGATTCTTTATTCATTTAAGATATACATGTAATAGTAATGTGCAAACTGAAGTGGAAAAAAAAGCATTTAAATTAAAAAAAGTGATCCTTCAAAAATCATAAACTGGAAGGATTTATTTCTTGACAAGCCAGTAGACATTTCTTACCTAGATTTCAGTAAGGCTTTTGACACTGTTGCACATAGAAGGCTTATGAATAAACTGCAATCTTAAATTTGGATTCCAATATTGTTGAATGGGTAAGGCAGTGGCTGAGTGACAGGCAACAGAGGGTTGTAGTTAATGGAATATATTCGAAGCCTGGACTTGTCACCTCAGGGATCTGTACTTGGACCCATTCTCTTTAATATTTTTATTAGTGATATTGCAGAAGGTCTTGATGGTAAGGTATGTCTTTTTGCTGATGATACTAAGATATGTAACAGGGTTGATGTTCCAGGAGGGATAAGCCAAATGGCAAATGATTTAGGCAAACTAGAAAAATGGTCAGAATTGTGGCAACTGACATTTAATGTGGATAAGTGCAAGATAATGCATCTTGGACGTAAAAACCCAAGGGCAGAGTACAAAATATTTGATAGAGTCCTAACCTCAACATATGAGGAAAGGGATTTAGGGGTGATTATTTCTGATGACTTAAAGGTAGGCAGACAATATAATAGAGCAGCAGGAAATGCTAGCAGAATGCTTGGTTGTATAGGGAGAGGTATTAGCAGTAGAAAGAGGGAAGTGCTCATGCCATTGTACAGAACACTGGTGAGACCTCACTTGGAGTATTGTACACAGTACTGGAGACCTTATCTTCAGAAGGATATTGATACCTTAGAGAGAGTTCAGAGAAGGGCTATTAAACTGGTTCATGGATTGCAGGATAAAACTTACCAGGAAAGGTTAAAGGATCTTAACATGTATAGCTTGGAGGAAAGACGAGACAAGGGGGATATGATAGAAACATTTAAATACATAAAGGGAAGCAACACAGTAAAGGAGGAGACTGTTTAAACGAAGAAAAAATACCACAAGAGGACATAGTCTTAAATTAGAGGGACAAAGGTTTAAAAATAATATCAGGAAGTATTACTTTACTGAGATGGTAGTGGATGCATGGAATAGCCTTCCAGCTGAAGTGGTAGAGGTTAACACAGTAAAGGAGTTTAAGCATGCGTGGGATAGGCATAAGGCTATCCTAACTATAAGATAAGGCCAGGGACTAATGAAAGTATTTAGAAAATTGGGCTGACTAGATGGACTGAATGGTTCTTATCTGCCGTCACATTCTATGTTTCTAAGATCCTTCCAAGTTTATTAAGGTAACATTATGTTTCAGGAAACACATGCATAATGGTATATTCTTTGGGGAACAGGAACTGTCAGTTATTCTTACTATTGTTCATTATGAATATATCTATTGCTATTTACTAAGAATATCCCTAGTAATTCTAAATGATTAACTGCAAGTAAGTAACCCTCAATACCTAATAATTTTCAGAATGCTCAAAAAATCCTTTAGATTCCTCATTTAACCAGTTGAGTAAACAAAATAATATATTTATTCTTTTGTCCCAATATGCAAATAAGTTAAAAGATGATCTCTGGCATTTCAGTGGCAACCTACTATGATCCATTATTTTCAGGCAGCCATTTAAAGAGTTAAAGAACTTATGGAGAAATAAAACATATTCACCTACTGAAAATGTATCCTTCATAGACGGAAACAGAACCGTAACAATACAGATTTTAACTTTTTTTTATAGATCTACTGAAATGAATTGAACTACTATGCAATGTAAAAATGAACATCTTAGCACCCATGACATAGGCAAAATATTTTTTCCATGACAAGTTCCTGTTGTATTGTACAGTGCTATACGATAATAATTTTATTACAGCAAAATGCCATGTAGTCATAATAGCTAATAAAATAAATTAACTGAGCCAATCAAAGAAATAGGCATTAAAAAAATTAAATATCCTTTCTAAAATTATTCTACTCACTCAAAATATACATAAAAACAAAGTAAATTATCATCATCATTATCATTATTATTAACAATGCTAAATGTAAATTGTAAAAATGTATGTAAAATAACAGTATCTGTCATGAATTTGCACTTACTGGATGTCGATCAGTGTGTTTCAGTGTCAGAAGCCCTGCTCTAGCTAAACCAACACGAGACTGTACCAACACAGGAAAGCTGGCTTAATATATCTTTGGATGTCCTGCCTTTTTATAAATCTGAACCATCCTCTGTTACTACTCAAACTGTAAATATGCAAACAATTGGCTGAGTCCAAGTACCAATCATTAAATACTTCACTAATTGAATCTATCCATTATACCTATGGTGTTCCTAAAGAAAATATTGTTACTTTATAATTCACATTATTTCAGGTAGAAAAATTTAAGCATGTATTTGTGCAAGCAGTGTTACTCATACTATGATTTTGGACTACGAAGACCCTTGCAGAGTCAAAAGTCTGGCTGGCAGTAATGTTTACATGCTTCAGATCGAAAGTGGTAGCTGGAGACATCAGGAGATAACTGTTCCTTACTTGCGTAATATTTTAAGCTGTGGTTTATATTTTAGCCAGTAGAAAAAATCACAGAACTGTGTAGTAATTGTGGTTTAATACACAAATTTGCAAAACCATTCACTATGACAGGCAAAACTAGGTTTCACACCAACTGAAGAAGATCTCAAGCTACAGATTAGACCTGTTCATACAGTTTCAAACAAACCACAATTCTTCAGAATTTTGACATGTCGTTTGAATTCTGTAACGTCGAAGTGCGATGTGGACGTATCATGAAAAAAGTCATGGACAATAGCCCAATAGGTTAGCTTTCTTCGGGATCCAGCACCAGAAAAAGAGATGATTGATGGTTATGGGAGAGCCACTAAATCAAATAAATACATTTAATTAAATTGATAATAAAGAAAAAATGTAAGGATCACATGTCCAGAACACTTTAAATACACAACCAAATGCTTAAAAGTAACTGAACACTCATAATCGTGAATACTAACCGAATGTGAACTGAATTGGAATGGTAATACACAATTCTGTTCTAGGTATTCCTAACTGTTTGCATGGATGATATTCGGAAGAGCTAAAATTCAAATGACTGAATTCAGTTTTTTTCTGGTTTAACTGATTTGGCTGAACCTAATTTATTACTGTGTATAAGTCTACTATATATACTGTAGAACAGTATTTTCATGTAAGACTGCTACTATCAGTTATAGTAAAACCTCAGTTGTAGTTGGACCACAATCTGGTTAGATCCAAAAGTTCCTAGTTTTCTGGGATTGGAGAAAGCGTCCTTTTAATAAGTATAAGGAGTGAAGGAAAATGTGGAAACATGTGCAATAGCACTTTCACTTCCTTTTGAAAAAGATATTTGTAATTAATGGGATAGTACAATCAGCTCCTACACATAGCTATTTCATCATTTTTGTATACATTTATTATTAACTTGGGTAGTGTTACTCAACCTTTATCTAATAACGGAAACCTCAAGTCAAACACATATTAACATTTCCTACCATGTGAAATGATGCATGCATTGAATATCAATTATATGGTTGTTTTATTCCCTCTGTATAGACATCTATACTGATATGTGCCATTATTAGCGTTAATGTACTGTAATTTAGTATTACGCTGTTCAATACCCTTTTCTCTTAAGCTACTCTGATAAGGCCACTGCAGGAACAGCCACTACAATGCTTTTTCAGGATGTTTATTTACAGAACCAACAGTTTTTAAAATCCAGGGTATTCTTTCCCCTTAAAACATTAATCAAAACAAAAAGCAAACAAAAACCTACTCCTTTTAGGAGACTAACTAAACAGATATATTTCCGTTTTAACAGTACTGGCCAGCTGAGCCGATTCCCAACCACAAAACAATAAATAAAACTCGCACTTTACTCACCCAGACCACTTCATCTCATTGCAGTGGTGCGGGTGCAGTGTTCCTGTTCCCCTTAGCCCTGCAATGTTTACATTGTAGGGAGAAGGAGTGTGACCCAGCACCAAGGTTACTCGTTGCTGGAATCAGGTAAGTGACCAAAAGGGTTTTTAACCATTTCATGGAAGGGGGATGGGGCCGCAGGGTAGAGGAACAATTTAGTGCTAGGAATACAAAGATGCATTTCTTACCATGCAAAGTTTTTCTTACCACTCAGGCTCAGACTCGCTGTATGTCTGTAACCAGTAGCCTAGTAAAAATCTCAGCAGATAAATAGGACTTAACAGTGTTAATTAAGTAGCAGCTGAAGCTGCTACTAGTATTAACCCTAGAAGCGGGGGGAAAGGGAACTTTCCATATGCATATGTATATACCCTCCCAGTGACCCTGTTACACTACAAAAATGAATCATATATGGGAACTTCAAAGGAACACTATAGTTACCAGTACCACTACAGCTTAATGTAGTGGTTATGGTGTCTATAGCCTGTCCTTGCAGGTTGAATGCTGTAAACACTGAGATTTCAGAGAATAGGCAGTGTCTACATTGCTGTCTAGGAACAGCAGGCAGCCACTAGAGGTGCCTCCTAGTCGCACTAGCGTTTAGCATCTTCTCGCTCTGCATTGAGTTGCTGAACATTCCCCATAGAGAGGATCAGGCTACTGATTACAGACATACAGCGAGTGTGAGCCTGAGTGGTAAGAAAAACTTTGCATGGTTAGAAATGCATCTTTGTATTCCTAGCACTAAATTGTTCCTCTACCCTGCGGCCCCATCCCCCTTCCATGTAAGGGTTAAAAACCCTCTATGAGGAGATGCTGATTGCTGGACTCTGGAAAGCATTGGATTGGCTGATATTAAGACTGATCTCAGCCATGGAGGTGAGGAATGGAAAAACATGAGTAAAATCACCTTTCCCATGCGATCAGAGGGGGTCCGGTCACCTAAATAGTTAGTTAGCATGTTTGTATTCTTAACACTGTAGTGTTCCTTTAACTGACTTGGGGAGTCTTGGAATGATTAACCATTAAAATGCATTCTATACACGATGAGTCAACATACATTTGTTTTAGCCAAGCAGTTTTTAAACTAGTTGCCAAAGAACTCCAATGATATTTGGACTTTGATCAGTGTGTGCTCAAGCAGAGAGAGAAACCAGTGGATTAGCATTTGTGTAATATATTGACAGAACAAAACATTTCTAATAAAAGACACATTTTAATGACATGTGAAGAGGAAGTTCACCATTAATTAAAATTGCTACTACTTAACTCACTGCCTTTAACATTTTTGTCAATTTTATTTTAGTAAACTAATAGCTGGTTCTTTAATATACAACTTATCTTCAGACCTTGAATAGTGGTCTGTTCCACACATTAGTGCACTGATAGAGCAAGATAAAAAAAAAAATAATTATGAACCAGCACCAAATGTTCAAATGAGAAATTTCAATAGTGGATGCTCACTTCATATGAACACTCCATGTACCATAACTACTACAGTGTGCTCTGGCCGATGTAGTAGAGAAGGAGAGCTGCATCCTACAGGAAAGAAGTCAAGCTCTTCTAAGTGTTACTATTTTGCAGCAGTCGTTGACAACTTAAAATGAGAAGGGAGTGCCGGGCAGTGTTCTGTAGTGGTCAGGGTTCTTGGAGTGTTCCTTTAAAATATAATGTAGAAAAATTGTTGCTCAAAACACAGAATATTTCTGCTCCAACTTCAGCACTCATTGTAGAAGTAAAATGTGGAAGTGTCACTGTAATGTTCTTTGTAACATTGTATAAAAAAAAAGATAAAAGAAAAAAGTTTTAAAAAATGTGCACTCAATGTTTTTTTATTCCGGTTCTAAAACTTTATATAGTATGTTTGGTAATCATGAATTTCCTAATCACTGCCATACATGTATTCAGCATATTATTACTACAGCAAAAGCGTCAGTCACTTGATAACTTAAAATGGTATAAATACAAAACAATGAGAGATATGTTAAAAATGTTGTGCTCTAAAGAGTTGTCTAAAGTGTGACATTCACGGAGGAAACCAGTGGAACCAGCATGCATATTCCTTTGGCGACTCTGCACTACTTTTTAGAACATAATAGATTTTATACATAACCCCTAATTTATCATAGGTGTTTCCACATTACATGTCACAATTACTACTAAATTAAAATAAATATTGCACCCTTTTCTACCAGAGACATATCTAGCGGTGGTGGAACTACTGCCAGTGCGACTGCACCAGGGAACTGCACGCTCAGTGGGTCCACTGGGTGGACCATGCACCTGGGACCAACAGAGGGGTATTGGCAAACAGGGGCTGCAACAGTAATGCAGTAAATAACTGTAAGAATCTGGTGCCAGTGCAAGATTATTTTTGCTACTTACAACCCCCCCCCAAAAAAAATCCAACAGTTTGTGTGTCCCTTTTTCCCCTTCCCCAGCCCCTCTTTCCCCCAGCTCCTTTGTGGGTCTCTCTTCTCCCACAGGTACTGTCTATGTCTCTCTCTCTCCCCAAGCCCCTCTGTGTGTCTATTTGCACCATCAGCCTTTCTGTACACCTTTTCCCCCCCCTCAGTCCTATGTGTGCCTCTTCCACACCACAGCCCTCTGTGTGCCTCTCCCTCTGCTTGGTCCTCTGTGTGCCTATTCCCCCCGCCCCCAATGTTCTATTTGCCTCTCCTTCCCCCTCCTCAGTCCTCTGTATGCCTCTCTCCCTTTCTCCTCAGCCCTCTGTGTGCCTATTTCCGCCCCAAGCCCATCTGTGAGCCTCTTTGTCCCCCCACCCCTTTGTCTGTCTTTTTCCCCTTCCCCCTCAGCCTCTCTGTGTGTCTCTTTGTTCCACCCAGCACATCGGTGTGTCTCTTTGTCCCCTAACAGCTTGGGTGTCTCTTTTTCACCTTCCTTAGCCCCTCTATTTGTCTCTTTCCTGAGCCCTTTGTGTGCCATTCTCCCCTCCCCCCCAGCCTCTCTGTGTGTCTCTTTGTCCTACAACCCCTTGTGTGTCTCTTTTTCACCTTCCTTAGCCCCTCTGTATGTCTCTTCGTGTTCCAGTAATGTGGAAACACGAGTTTGTTTTCCTGGCACTATAGTGCTCCTTTAAGATATGTTTGTCTTTGTAGTGAATGTTTAATTTATATACAGAATATGGCCTTTTGTGTTTGGCAAATATAGTTTTTTGTGTTTAGCAAAGTTTGAGATGCATCCCTCTTGGATTCTACCAGGCTCGGACAATCTTTTCAAACGTCATGTTGTCAGTAAGATGTTTGGTGAAAACATAAACTGATAACATGACATATGAAAGGATTGGCAGAGCCTGGTAGAATCCAATTCTATATACAAAATAAACATTTGTTACAAAGACAAACATATCTTAATCACAAATTTGAATGTGCAGTACATTTGTGGGGAGCATAGTTTGAGCCAGATTAGTGAAAGATTACAGAGGTGAGACCTCTTTGAAAATGTTACCCGTAATTTGTTTAGAGCTTGTTCAATTATACATAGTCGGGTCAGGACTATTCAGTAATATATTGTGAACCATGCTATTTCTCTGTAAAAAAGGATGCAAAAATATTTTAATTGAGCAGTAATTGTGATGGGAAGCGCTGTAATGTGGAAACACATATGATATGTTGGGATTACTTACGTTTTCTCCCAGCAGACACATACGACCTTGCAATACTTTTCAGACTGTGGGTTTTAAAAAGTAATGCAGAGTCACCAAAGGAATGTGTCTGCTGGTTCCATGGGTTTTCATGGTGATTGTCTCACTTATCGTACTTAGATAGCTCTCCAGAATACATTTTTATTCATATCCCTAGTTGTTTTGTACTGTTACCATTTTAAATTATCAAGTAAACTGACTGCAAAATTTGCTGTTATAACATGTGCTGAATAAATATATGGCAGAGATGAGGAAATTCATGTTTTCTTTGATTACCAAATATTTTTTAACCGAAAAAAAACAACCTTTGACGGTGAAACGCGTTGTGGATATTTTACATTAGTCATTTTAACATTGTTTATTAATATAGGTATTTTGGCTTCTTTCAATAGTGAGTGTGCCATTTTACTTTTTTTTTTTATCTTTTACTATTCTATTATTTTATTGTTTTCCACCTGGCATCTGTTCTTACTGTTCTTGAGAAGATTACTTCATAAAGAATCCTAGGAGGGGAATTTTACCACTCATACTTTGTACATTGAGCAGTCTGTCTGCTCAATCAAATGTGAGTAACATATCATTATTTTATACTCCTGTTTTTTATATACTGTAAGCACTATTGTTGTTTCTTTTAACCTTGTATTGTCTTCATATTGAGGAAACATCACCCTATCAGCATCCCCTCACGTATCCCATAAGTGGAGATTATACCACAGTACCCTATTCATACTAGAGCTAGTTTTAAGCTCTAATAAATGTGAATAGGACTATATGAGACTTATCTTATCAATATTGTCTGCTTCTGGGATATATTGCACTATTAGTCTTTCGCTCTCTCTGTTTTGTTATAAGGCTCCCAAAAATATCTATATCTGGCACTATATTGAAGATTTCCCCTGGCAGAACTGAGGCTATATCTTCTGGCAAGTTGTTATTTGGGACACTAATATTGGACATTTTATTACTATCATTGATTATATTTATTGTTTTTTTATTGTCCTTCTGCTGTAATCTTCATTTACACACTGGTTTAATATCTTTTGGTGCAACCTCCATTCCTCCTTGTGCACTATTCCTCTTACCCGTAGGGCTTAGCGAGAGCCTTACCTATTCAAGGTGTGCCGACTAATTTTTTAAATGTATTTATCTATTGGTTTGGTATATTAAGTGCTGATCCTTCTGTCTTTTTTATCTTACATACACACAAACACTGCTCGCAAATAAAACCCTGTAAGGATGTGCAAATGGTAGATCTCCTGCTGGTAAATTTAAGTGGGAGTAATATGACTGTTGATTATCTATCTTTTGGCCACCCTTGCACAAAACGGGTCACAACAATTTCTTCAACCAGGGCCCTCCCTACATTAGTTATGCCACTGTATTGAGAATCCTGCAGCCTGATTCCCACAGCTGTCCCTAGTGATGGCTGGGGCAATAGCAAACACTTTGGCGTAATATCTGTCTTTTGTCAGGTTTTGTCAACCTCGTACTTTATCATAATGCAAAATAGTCCCTACTTTCCCTAATGATATTATTATTAATATTTTATTATTTATAGAGCGCAAGCAAATTCCATAGCGCTGTACAATGGGTGGACTGACAGACAGGTAATTGTAACCAGATAAATGGACGCACAGGACAGGAGGGGTAGAGGGCCTGCTTAATGAGCTTACATGCTAGAGGAAGTGGGTTATAGTGACACAAAGGGTATAAGTAGGAGTAATGAAATAGGTTTCTAGAAAAATATTCACTGATAATTTAGTAGGTGATTTTTGACAGTTGCAGGAGAGGAGTCATGGGGGGGAGGAGGGGAATGAGAACCCACTAACAGTTTATATGATATGCTTTCCTGAAGAAGTGTGTTTTAAAAGATTTTTTGAGTGGAGACTGGGTGAAAGTCTAAAGGAGAAGGGAAGAGAGTTCCACAGAAAAGGTGCAGCCTTGGAGAAGTCTTGGAGGCAAGCATCAGATGTGGGAGTACGGGCAGAGGACAGACGTAGGTCTTTGGCAGAGCACAGGGGCCTCGACGGGACATACTTGTGTATTAGGGAGAATAGGTAGGTTGGAGCAGTATTATGTAGGACTTGTAAGCAAGCACCAGAATATTAATCAAATGTTCAAGGAAGAAGTCAAGGAAGGAACTGACAGAGGGGGGGCATGGGAGATGTGGGCGGACAGGAAAATGAGCCTTACTGCCGCATTCCTTATGCAGTGGTGCAATCTGGGAGCACGTAAGAGCACTGAGAAGGGGATTGCAGTAGTCAAGGCGAGAAAGAACATTGGCATGGACCAGCACCTTAACCGCGTCTTGTGTTAAATAGGGGCAGGTGTGAGTTATGTTTTTGAGATGGATATGAGGGGTGAAGGAGAGGTCGGAGTCAAAGAGAACACCTAGGCAGCAAGCTTGCAAGGTAGAGGTGATGGTGGCGCCACTGATTTGGAGGGAGACAGCAACATTTGAGGGAGGAAAGACCAGAAGTTCTGTTTTGGACAGGTTGAGTTTAAGATAATGAGTAGCCATCCAGTTGGAAATTGCAGAGAGGCAGTCAGAGACATGAGTCAAGATGGATGGAGAGAGGACAGGTAGATTTGTGTGTCATCTGCATATAAATGATAATGGAAGTCAAAGGAGCTGATCAGTTTTCCCAGGGAGGCAGTAACGATAGAACAGTAGGAGACCAAGGACAGAACCTTGGGAAACGCCAACAGAGAGGGGTAAAGGACAAGAGGCAGAGCCAGAGAAAGAAACACTGAAAAAGCGTTAGGAGTGGTAGGAGGAGCAACAGGAGAGAGCAGTATTCTGTAGACCGAGATTAAGGAGAATGAGAAGAAGCTGTTGATGTTCAACAGTGTCAAAGGCAGTAGAAAGATCAAGGAGAATTAGGATAGAGTAATGGCCGCAAGATTTAGCAGCATTTAAAACGTTGGATACTTTGGTCACAGCTGTTTCAACAGAGTGACGAGCACAGAATCCACACTGAAGCGGGTCAAGCAGGGAGTTGGATTTGAGGAAGTCTGCTAAGCTCACATACACAACTCTCAAGGATCTTGGAGGAAAATGGCAGTAGCGATATAAGGCGGTAGTTGGATGGGGAGTTGGGGTCAAGGTTGGGCTTTTTCAGAATCGGTGTTATGATTGCATGCTTGAAGGGTGAAGGAAAGGGAGAGATTGAAAATTTTAGTGAGAGGAAAACCAAGAGAGGGAGACAGAGTGTGGATGAGTTATGTGGGAATAGGATCTAGGGAACAGGTGGTGGGGTGGGAGGACCGGAGCAGAGCAGAAACCTCTTCCGTTGTAGTAGGTGCGAATAAGCATAGAACAGCAGAGGGAGTGGGGTTGGGTGATATATTGGAAGGGGAGAGAGAGAGGTTAGAAATCTCTTTCCTGATTGAAGAAATATTCTCAATGAACTGAGTTGCAAAGTTTGAGGCGGACAGGGCGGTAGGAAGAGGGGGAGCAACAGGGCGAAGGAGAGCATTAAAAGTGTTAAATAGGGATTTGGGTTGGCGCGATAGTGTGCTTATTAGGGTATTGAAGTAATTTACTTTTGCAGAGGAAAGAGCCATACTAAAGGAGCGCAGCATAAATTTATAGTGGAGGTAGTCAGGTGCAGAGTGAAAATTTCTCCAACAAATTTCAGCAAGTCAATGTGCGGTTTTCATAAAGATGATGAAATACTCAAAATGTTTAATCTAATGATAGATACTTTAATGAGTTTTATAACAATCATCATACCTTAGAATCTTGTTTACTAGACCTGAATGAAATTGACTGTACACACGTCACATGCAGGTCTACTGGGCGTACTACCTCTGCAGCTCACTGAACAGAGAATTGTAGCGTATTGCTAGCAGACGTTGACATGGTGTCTGCACTACAATAATACAACACAATTTTGATTTAATATAGTTAATCAACTGCCCATCTGTCCATTTTATGTAGCAACATTTTAACCTTTTAAGGCATTTGTAATTTTAACCAACCATGAAACCTTTTATTCTTTTGACATTTATAGCATATGTCTCATTACTCCACACACTCTGAATACTTCCTAGCTTCCATAAAAAATTAAAAACGAAAAATAAAAGAGTGACCAACCAATCTGTCTATCACATACTGGTAATAGGAATAATTTTAAGCATACTATCTGTTTATATTGGAGGGACAGTGTCAGGAAAAGCTTTTTAATCTAGGAAGCCTAGAATCCAGAATCCAAGAGTGGCGAGATTAGTTTACTGAATGGATTTAGGAAACCTTGAGTTTATATCTATAGTAATATCGTATGTACAATATCAATATTGTATAGTATTATATAATTATATATTAATTCACTGTGTGATGCAGTGGATTTATGAATTGGATACCCTCCAACCCAATGGACTAAAAATGATTAAACATGATATATATAGTTTGTTTATTTTTGTAGTTGTTAATCTTTTCTAATTTTTTAAGTCCAATTTCTCTTGCTGTGGATACTTATTTATTCCAATTTGTATTATTATTTTTATTACAAATCTCTCTTTTAATTTTTACTTATATTTTTATTTAAAAATTGGTGTTTTTTTTAATTCTTATGTTGTTTTTTATATTTAAATTTGTATTAACAATTTTTTTCATTAGTCATGCTTTTCTGGTTGGGTCCATTTATTTATCACATGTTTAACTATATTAATTGTTGCATCAAGTATTTAAAAAAAAGAACATTTGCTGTGAAAAAAACAAAAAAATTAGAAACGAATCCCTGTATAGGTGATCTAGTGTGTGTGAAGCGGATCCAGAGAGTTTATAAGAGGAATGTAGTGTATGTAATTGGGGTAGTGTGTAAAAGGGATGTTGTGTGTGTGTGTCTGTAATGTAGTGTGTGTGAGGGGTGCAGTGTGTGTGTGAGGGTGTGTGAGTGATGCAGTGTGTGTGAGAGGTGCAGTATGTATGTTTGAGAGATGCAGTATATGTGTGTGAGGGGTGCAGTGTACATGTGAGGGATGCAGTGCAGGTGTGAAGAATGCAGTGTGTGTGAGGGGTGAAATGTATGTGTGAGTGGTGCAACGTATGTGTGAAAGGTGCAATGTTTTTGAAGAGTGTCGTTTGTGACTGTGTTGCGACTGGTACAGGCCTGTATTGTGTGTGTGTGTGTGTGTGTGTGTGTGCGCGAGGGAGGGGGGTTGGGCAGATGGAGGCAGATATAAATATTAATTTAAAATCAACATATGATTATATATATGTATTTTAAAAATATGTATTTTTTTAAAATTAAATAAGTAAACTCTATATCCCCACTCCCTTCTTACCAGTGCTTAGGAGGGGGGACATTGTAAGCCCTGGAGGTCCAGTGGTGAAGTCCTGGTGGTCATAGCGGTGTCCAATTTCTCTTGCTGTGGATACTTATTTATTCCAATTTGTATTATTATTTTTATTACAAATCTTTCTTTTAATTTTTACTTATATTTTTATTTAAAAGTTGGTGTATTTTTTTTATTCTTATGTTGTTTTTTAAATTTAAATTTGTATTAACAATTTTTTTCATTAGTCATGCTTTTCTGGTTGGGTCCATTTATTTATTACATGTTTAACTATATTAATTGTTCCATCAAGTATTTAAAAAAAAAGAACATTTGCTGTGAAAAAAACAAAAAAATGAGAAACTAATCCCTGTATAGGTGATCTAGTGTGTGTGAAGAGGATCCAGAGAGTTTATAAGAGGAATGTAGTGTATGTAATTGGGGTAGTGTGTAAAAGGGATGTTGTGTGTGTGTGTCTGTAATGTAGTGTGTGTGAGGGATGCAGTGTGAGTGATGCAGTGTGTGTGAGAGGTGCAGTATGTATGTTTGAGAGATGCAGTATATGTGTGTGAGGGGTGCAGTGTACATGTGAGGGATGCAGTGCAGGTGTGAAGAATGCAGTGTGTGTGAGGGGTGCAATGTATGTGTGAGTGGTGCAACGTATGTGTGAAAGGTGCAATGTTTTTGAAGAGTGTCGTTTGTGACTGTGTTGCGACTAGTACAGGCCTGTATTGTGTGTGTGTGTGTGTGTGTGTGTGTGTGTGTGTGCGCGAGGGAGGGGGGTTGGGCAGATGGAGGCAGATATAAATATTAATTTAAAATCAACATATGATTATATATATGTATTTTAAAAATATGTATTTTTTTAAAATTAAATAAGTAAACTCTATATCCCCACTCCCTTCTTACCATTGCTTAGGAGGGGGGACATTGTAAGCCCTGGAGGTCCAGTGGTGAAGTCCTGGTGGTCATAGCAGTGAGTGAACTCTAGTCTGCAGCTCTTCTCTTGCGAAATCCGGAGCGTTTTTATGGTAACTGCGGCAACACTCTGAGCTCTTGAGAGGAACCCGGCGGAACTGCAGGTTAGAGCTCCTGGGTCCTCTCCTCACTCCTGCCCGGATTGAAGAGCCAGAGGGCTGGTAAAGTAGATTTTTGATCTGCACTTTCCAGCCCATGCACTTTCCAGCCCATGCACTTTCCTGCCCTGTTGGCCTTGGCCCATGGCCATCGTGGCACACCGCCATATGCCCAGTTTGCGCAATGGCCAGACTCTTATCGCCCTTCTGTCCCTGCCTAAGTTCTGCGTCAGCGCTGCACTATTTTCTTGGGGGGTGTAATTTCCCTATTGTCCCCTCCAGATCCACCACTGCTGTGATATATTTTATTAGGACAGAGGCTTGTGGGTTGAAGAAATTTGGTACCCAGAGATATTAGGTTTTTGAAGTCATGGTGGTGGTTAGCTACCGGAGTGAGTGCAGGACTCCAGGAAAATGATCCCCTGTGTTTCTGTCCACCTGGTTTGATAGAGAGCAGCAGAAATTTTGTGTTTCTTTAATAGCAGTTTGATATTTTGCTAAAATATGATTTGTGGGAGGAACATGAGAAGGTGTTTTGTCCTAGAGCAGGAGAATATAGACTACTAGTAGGGATACCATTCCAATGGACCGGAGAGATACACCGAGTGCACATGGCTTCCACAGTGTCAGAATTAGGACCACATACAAGTGGTTATGAGCTTGTTTTTAATCTTTATGTCAGAATGTTACTTTTCTTTAATTTACATATATTGCTCTGCATACCTTTAAATTCTCTATGCAGGGAATAAATTGCTACACATAGCTGTCCCTGAGCTTCTTGTAAACTTTTGTGAAAGTCACCGAGAAAGTTATGCCCATAACAGCAACCTGATATGTTGATATCACTAGAGCTTGCAAGGTGTTTTAAATGTGAGTGGAAAATCTTTATCTTCTACTGTACTTCTATTATTTAACATGCTACACTATTGATCTATTTCTTCTTTTCTCTCCCCATATTGCACATTTGAGGAACACCTACTGACAAAAAGATCTACCAAAGAATTGGACTTTTATGACCTATGTAAGTTGGATGTTAGTGTTTTAGGTACATTCCATGTTATTAACACCACTTGCTATTAGTTTTTATACCCTCAGCTTTTTGTGACAGAATCACAGTCATACTCCTAATCTGGCTTGAAACTTGAAATACAGTACTGAAGTGGACAGTAGAATAATATGACTCTCATACTCTCTGCTTCTGCCTTTATCCTAATTTTGTTCCCACTCAATATACCCAAATCAAGTGTAGAAACCTCAGATCCATTCATGATATGTTTACAGTTTCTAGGTATATGGTCAAAGACGTGTATGTAATTGTGATTGATAACCAGAAAACCTTTTACATGTAACTCTATTAATTCTTTTTTGTAAGTGCAATGTCTTATCTCTAGGTTGTCTGTGCACAACTTCCAAATCCACTGATATGTCAGTGGAGGGGGACCTGCAGGGGATGTGGCCTCATCTCTTGGACAACCAGTTGCTCCTGGATGACATGTGGACTTGAGCAGTGTCATGGGACCAGGGGCCGTGGTTAGGTAGCAAACCTGACCTGCAGGTTCCTATGACAACTCCCTGCTATAGTTGAGGAGGCACGATGGAGGAGTGTTGTTAGTAAATGGTGCCCTATTTAATCTCAGAGTAACCGAGTTATCATTGCTCAGTTGTTTTGAGGCTTGGTCCTGAAATGTGACTGTAGGTAAATGGTATTGTCTTTCTGGTGCTTTACACTGGGCCTGACTTATCATTCTGCCTGTATTCATTACCTTGGACTGTTTGACTACGCCTATTGGATTGCCACTATTGGATTTGTTACCTTGGACTTTTTTCTACTGCTTGACCCTTAGCTACCTACTGCATTTTTTGCTTTACCAGCCTAACCCCAAGATAGTAAGGGCCCAGCAGCAGCTCATGTGATGGTTGCATCCTTAGTGAAAGTCATCACGGCATCTATCAAGGCGTCTTTAAGGCACACTCCTGTTATTGTTTTAGTTATGCCTGTGAGTGAGCTACACCTGGTGGATATAACTGGTGTTACACATTGGTCTCAACTGGGAGAGGCCTTCATAAACCTGTGCTTAATACCCATCATTGCCGTTTCATGGTTTAACCTCACTAAGAGCATTTGCTAGTGTTCCAAAGTACATATCAAAGTCTTTGCTTTTTATACTGTACATCCTGATTTCTGTATTCATGTCTCTAACTTGTCCTGTTTACGCTCAATCTGCCTCCTACTCTAACCCTATGGCTGGTTTCACATTTTACTGTATCTTCTCGTTCCCTATCGTTTTCTTGTCTTTATGAGATTCATTCATCTGTCTCCAGTGATTTATTACCATTTTTAAGTAGGTGTCTGTGTTTTGTTAAACCGGATCATCCTTAGGACCGGTAATTAACCTTTTTAACTTTTTCCTATTTCTGCATTTTGTGATCTGACACAGTCAGACCTGACATTTCTCTACTGGGCTGAACCTAAGCAACACTTCACCAGAAGGCTTGACTTTCACCTAGATTTTTTTTAACAGATGTAAGAGATCATTCTCTCCAGTTCTTTGATAAACATTACCAAAATCTGGAATGTGTGCAAACTGCTGTCTCTCTGACAGATAACTGGTGCCCTTTACAAAATATGTAATTAAATCATTTTGCTATGACACCATGTCCATTAGTTCTGAATCAGTACCCTGAAAAATAACAGGCATGCCCTGGACTGTTGGAGCTGATAATGTTGCTTTCGGTCTCTGTGAAACAAGAAGGTAGAATCGGTGAAGGATATTGAACGGCGGCATTACTGTTAATAAAAAAAACATGGTTTGCTAGAAACCAGACATCACTGGAAAAGGCTGATGTCAAATACCAAAGTAGGAAATTAAATAAGCAAAATATTTAATTTAATTTAAGGTCAGGCATTTGTGAGTCACTTGCTGTTATAAGTGTATACCCTTTTTTTATGTTGATATTGATAAAGCCACCTAGACCAGCTCTGTCGCTACGCATATGGTAACTGTATCAATTATTTTTTAGGGACAAACCTTTATTTTAATTTAATGGCCCAAAAATAATTTGGGGGAAAGTGGGTTTGAGTTGGGGGCAGGATAAAGTGCGTAGAAAAATATGCAAAAATATGATGTGGTTACAGATGGTGGATATTGGGGGTGTTTAAATGTTCTCTTTTACTTTTGGGTATTCTATTGAAATTTCAGTACAACCAATAACAGACATCATAAGAGAATATAAAGACCATATGTAACGAGGTTGACAAAACTTGACAAAAGACAATGCTTCCACCATTAAGTTTGTCAGCCCGTACAGCCATTGCTATTAATACCAATGGGTAAAAGGCTTATATCTGCCTTAAATTCTCCCCTCAACTGCCACACAGCATGCATGCAAGTCACATTCAACAGACCTACTTAAAGGAATAGTGCTACTTTAAATATTATTTATTAAATGACTAATTACTTTAGAGTGGATGTAAACTTAACTCCAACAACACTAAACTTGACCCTCGCTGCTAACATTAACACATTATCCTAATTTCTAAAACTATAAACCTAAGCCTAACTCTGTTACCCCCAAATGTAATTTCCATAACCCTTCAGGAATAGTAAACTTTGCACAACTCTACATATTGAAGACTGTAATGTCCATCACTTTAGGATGCAGTCCTCAGTTCTCAGTATAAAACTACATAACTCTACAATACTCTGTTTTGTTGGTCATTGTTCTATAGCTGTCAGTGTTATTGGAAGAAGAAGTGCAAAACAATTTCAATATTGTGTCACCCTAGGTTGAATTTTGTATGAAATTGAAACTTTGCAACAATATATAATTTGGACAGTAAGCTAGATATATAGATTTTTATAGACATGTTTGTACTCATTAGTATTGACGGACATTTGTGTAATCAATTTTTCCTATGACTCAATTGAAGCCAAGGACTCCAGAGAGAGACCTAGCACGTGCATAGATTGTAATTAATAGAGCATGTTGTCCAACATCCGTATGTTGCAAATAAATCAATAACTCCCTCCTTCAAAAATTTCTATCCAATAATTCTTGTAAATAAAATATTTCTAAACTCTAGAGGTTAATTAGATTTTTCTTTTTGCTACATAGACATTCAAACTTGTTTTTACTGTATTGACAAAACATGCCCAAACATCTTAATTTGGCAGTAAATCACACATCTTATGAGCCCTGACTGATGTCTGATACATATTGTCATACGGTTGAGAAAAACCTGGCAGAAATATACATTTTTAATAAGATGACCACTTTGACTAGATTCATTCTCTTAAACTTCATGTTATCTCCTCACAATGGTCCCAAGTTCCATACATAAGCATTCCTACCCTTTTAACTATCCCATAAGAGAACACCCCTGTTCCCTGCATATAGCAACATTTATGACAATTATTGTTGAAAAACAGTAATTAACTACATTTATAGAAACATTGATTTTAAATATGCACAAAAGCCAAGTGACCCATCTAGTCTGTCAAGTTCCTATCTAAAAGTAGGAAGTTTATTCTACACCTGCCCGGTTAGGACTGCAATGTGTCTATTCCAAGTCTACCCTGTGCATCTACCATCTATCTATATTACATAGTTACATAGCTGAAAAGAGACTTGTGTCCATCAAGTTCAGCCTTCCTCACATATGTTTTTGCTGTTGATCCAAAAGAAGGCAAAAAAAACCCAGTTGATCCCAAAATAGCAGTCAGATGTCTCCTTGGATCAAGCAGCTATTACTAATAAGAAATTATATCCCTCTATCTATATCTGTTCCATACTTCTACAGCTCCCACATTTTGTTGTAACTGCTCACTAATTTCCATTATTCCATCTTTATCCTAACTCCTCTTATTTTAGCTACATTTCAATGTGTTAAATCCAACAAGGTAGTAGAAAGCTGTTATGTTGACTTGGTGGTACATGATACATCTATTGATGCATTTAATGTAGGGTCCTCAGATCTCCATGGCTTTCAGATGAACTGTGTTTTATAAGCAAACCGGCTTTTTTTAAAACTCTTTCTGTGTATGATAAGTTAATCATTATGTAGGTTGTAGTACCTATTCCAGGAACACCCCCGCTAAAAATGACTTTTATAATTTACAAAATTATAAAACCTTTCCTAAACGAAACAAACTACAGAGTCTGTTTTGGATTATTTGTATTTATTTATTCATACCTCACACACACCATATTTATTAATACCTCACAGGCACCACCTAAAATATCTGACAGGAACTATCCTCTGCAGTGAAGCCCACACATCTAATGCCCTTAGTGTAAAACACTGAGGACTATTCATTCTTTCCCCTAATCTTGAGAATCATAAATTTTTGCATTTCTTAGAATATCCTCTGATATGTCTAAGCACGGAATAATTTGTACACTTATTCTTGTCTATTCAAGCTGTAAACAAATCAACTTGCCAAGACTCATCTACAGGAATTAATATTTTGTTGAATCAGTTCTTGAGTTTATTTCCCCTTGCATTTCAGGCCAGCAATGAAGTGCACTGCTTGCTACTTACAACAGGCAAGTGAGAAGAAAGAAAACCTGTAGTTCTTAAAATGACAATATGTTCCCTTCTATCGCTGTCAGAATGTTCACCCTCCATTTCTGCTAAAAATGAAAGTTTATTAAAGATTACTTTCTCGTTTCCAGCTCCAAGACTCCTCTGCTACAGCTGCTCACGGGACCTGCAAAAATGTTCGCTCTCCTCTTTCATGTTCTACTTCAATATAATGCTTCTCATGGAGAAGCATTGCATCTGAGATACGCATGTCCGGTCAAAACTGCTACAAAACTGCAATGTTCTACATTATGTTCTATTAATATAGCGGGACCCCTGCATTTAGACCACTTCATTGAGATGAAGTGGTGTGGGAGTCTTTAGTGTTCTTTTAAGAATTTTCCCCAAATGACAATTTGCCTAAGTATATGGCAGAGAAATAAGCCATTGAAATGGCTTATGTTTTTACTAAATGTAGAATTTTAATGAATTGAAAACATGATTGGAGAAGTTAGGTAAAAAAGACAGATTTAGAAAATTCTCTCTTTAACCTAAGTATTGGTTTTTAATTCTCCACCATGCAATATGTTAGTTTTTTCTATTTTTTTTTTTTTTTTGTATACTGTATACTTTGGATTTATTTTGGTTGAAATTAATTTATAAAAATCTGTAGTGTAAACTAATAACATTTGTTTCGTTTGTTTATAACAATCTGTACTATTTGGGCAAAAATAACAGGGTTAGTAAACAGTCTTTAACTCCCAATGCCAAATGAGCTAGTAAAAGTAACAGAAATAGAACTTTAGGGAAAAAAATTGTAGAATACAAAAGAATATTTGAAACCACTATACGGAGATTATCAAATCATATTGAGTGCTATTCTGTGGCAAAGTACTAATAAGGTGCATTTACTAAGTAGAATTAATTCTAACATTTAGTATTTGCTACAGGATAGATGCTGTTTTACTTTGATAAATCCCACCCAATATAGTCACAGCTGTCCATGTATGCATTTGGAGTTTTGGCTTAGCCTGCTCAATTATATCTCATAGCAGATTAGGATGGACAAGCACATGACTGGTACATAGTAAGCAGATAAGAAATAAATATTTCAAGCATGACAGAAAAAGCTACTGAAAAAAAGAACTTTATCAGGAATCTGATCCAAGTCCAAAACACTTTGGGATGAATTCAGTAAGCAGTGAAATGGGACGAGTTAAAAAGTAAATTGCAAAATGTAGCCAAATCAATTTGAAGCACTCTCTGACATTTTTCTACCTTGATGAATTTGGAACAAAATTCTGTATTACAACCTAATACTCAGATTTAATAGAATTAGTAACTATCTGCCTTTAAACTCAGTTCAACCAAACTCACCTTGTTCACGAGTTAATACATTGCAAAAATCTGCCTTTGGCACCATTTAGACCGCTAAATTCTAGAGCAGGGGTCCTCAAACTCTGGCCCCGCAGATGTTGCTGAACTACAACTCCCATGATTCTTTGAATTACACAGATAGCCAGAGAATCATGGGAGTTGTAGTTCAGCAACATCTGGGGGGCCAGAGTTTGAGAACCCCTGTTCTAGAGTGAAAGTGTTGATGCAATAGAGAGGTATGACTTGCCCCGTGCATTTATAATGTATTTATTATTATAAGAGTATTATATAAATACATTCGATATATTAAATAAGTATTATTTAGTTAACTTTTTAGATGGTTTAACCCTTTCCCGCTTTTCATTATATGCTGCATGTGGACACATTTTTATACATACAAATGTAAATTTGCATTCAAAATGCAGGTGGAATTATTTAGCAAATTTGTCATTTTGTCTTTAACCCCTTAAGGACACATGGCATGTCTGACATGTCATGATTCCCTTTTATTCCAAAAGTTTGGTCCTTAAGGGGTTAATAAACATGCAAATACTGTATTGCAAGAATTACTTATTTTAAAGCAAACACAGATGGTACTAGCTCAAAAGTGCTCATTCAATTAAAATGATCACATTTCAATAAGATTTGCCTTTAGTAAATTGAAATGGCAAATTTGGTAAAAAAAAATAAATAATAATTGGTTATTTTAACCCAATTTTACCAATCCAGACCAAATTTGGAATTTTGAGATTAAACCTGGTCAACAAGCAGTGACAAGCAATAAGCAGGAAAATTTTGATTCCCTAAGATATAGTTACCCGTACATCAGCCAGAGAGTACAGACAATACATGTAAAAGAACACCATATTTAGGTCACTTTTACATTACATTATTTGTACTGTGTGCAAAGTAACAATTTGATAATAATTATTCACTACATTTAGATTTGTGAAAAACGAGGGAATTGCAAATTCGAGGACAAAATAACAGAGCTGTAAAAAAGTTGAAGTGGGCACTTCTTCCATATGCATAATATTGCAATTTCCTTTTTGAATAATATAAAATTATAATATAATAGAGTGCCTGATAAAACAGAGAGAGTTGTGGAGCTAGTAGAGACAGCACATTAGAAACCTGTCTGATATGTACTTAAAAGGTATAATTGTCAAAAAAAAATTTAATTTTACACGTTTAAGCATATTGACTGGATAAAGTGCAGGAATTTATGATGACCTATTTATCAGAAGCTCTGTGCAGAGGATGAAGGATCTCCATGAAATATGAGAGAAAAGGAGATAACACCTTAAACACACAAACACACATGGAGTCCATTATCTTAAATAGTTTTTCACTGTCAGCTCTCTAGTACCCACCAACATTTCAAATTGATTAATCAGGGATCCTAGATCCACCTGTGCTAATATGAAAAAGACCACCTGTTCTCATTATAAGAAAATTCTGAAAAAAAGTGCTAGTGTGAAATTTACGGGCTACCTTTTTTGATCCACCATCCCGATAGGTAACGTTTAAAGCATTCAAAAAGGGTTAGAAATGTGTGTGGGATAAATGTTTTGGATACAATCAGCAATCAAGCAATTTTTTAATTACATATCAGATTGACAGCTTGCAGTTAAGATATTTTTTTTATTTTATTTCTATAGGTCAAAAGCAAAATGTGATTTTCCATTTATTAGGCTAGCATATACATACAGGGCCAGGAGGCTATTTAAGACAGAGTATGAAAACTGCATCATTGCGTTAATTTCTGACATTCTGTACATTTTATAACATATCATTTAATTATAAGGATAATGTTCATTTTAACTGAAAGTTGTGTTCAATAACTTCTCACTGTTACTTATGATAAGTGGTCATTTAATGCTAATATTGCTGAATAAACAGTCCTTGCCATGACCTAAGTGTCTTCCTCTTTTTTACACAGTGTGTATGGGTAGAACAAAACCATAGATTACCACAGATTATGCACATCCACTCAGATACGCAATCACGAACATACACATCCATAAAGGTCATTAAAGAACAGAAATAGAGTATTTTATTTTACCAACCATATGCATGCATAAACTACTTTGGCCCTGATTTAATATTCTTGGATAAGCTTTTCAAATGATTTAATATTTTTGGATAAACATTTAAAACAGGTTGTTTATTTAAAAAAAAAAAAAATATTAACATATCAAAAATATATCATATATAAAAATGTATCAATATATTCAATTATTTGTAAAGATTATTTAAAAAATATATAAAATCATGGCATTTGTTGAAAGACATATGGGTGCTCTGCAATCTGTATATCTACAAACACAAATATGAACAAACAGACAGAATATACACAGACATATGAGCATTCACACATTTGGAACCTGATTAACAGAGTAAACTGAATACAGGTTTGGGGTAAATTTGATTTCTTATATTACAGAATTAATAAACAGGCACACTGAATAAACAGAAGGAGCTAGACTGATTTGTGGGACATAGAGACAGATACACAAGGAGACAGGTTTAGAAAGAACAAACCTATACAAACACAGACACATGCACTCAACACTCCAGTCACTTACAGGCACACAAACACGTGTCAAGTAAATATAACACATAAATATGTACAAACACCAGGACATAATTGGCACCAAGTGAAGCCTCATTGTACCTTTCATGGTAATACATTTTAGAAACAATAAATATAAGAAATGTTGAAATAAATCTCTAAAATGATCAATATACATTTGGGTTCTTATATTTTAGATGTGTACATAATTTATTTCAAAATTAATAGTTTTTAATACTAGTGTAATTATAGCTTAAAGAAATTGAATCTATTTACAATTACTTTTTTCTCTCTTTATATATATGTAAAATATGCATTTATGAAAAAAAATTCAGATTTAGCAGTAAAACAACAGAGTATCAACATCTACTGATCTATTTTCTTGGAAAGCAAAATGTCAACAATATAATGCAAGGAACAAATGCACACAGATAATTAAAACCCTCCTCTCCCAGATCACATGCTGTAGCACTATTAGTTCTGCTAATATTAAAGTGTTATATATATATATCATTTATTTATTTTTACCTTTTTCCTGTGTCTGGTTAGTGACTATTCCTCTGGATTGCAGATGGTCAGGTTACTGAGCACTGAGGTGCTTTGCTGTGCTGTAGTTACTTCTCTGGAGGAAATAAGAGAATTCTGGACTCTTAACAGCTGTCTCACTTCAGCTCCTCCCACACCCCTGTCAGCCATTTTTAAATCATGTGTTTTTCTTTCACTTTTTTTTTCCAGTGACAAATATGTGGGAATGAAGCCAAACCATCACATAAACTATTCTATTATAATCATGGATCAATCTTTGCTGGTGGGCATACATTTTGCCAACTGACATGTTTGTGTGGTCCTGAATGAGATTCAAAATGAAAAAAAATAGATTCAGTGTTTAGCTGTAAAATGATTTAAACAAGTTACATCATGTAACTGCAGTAACATTATTGGTTCAATTAGAAAATCTATCTTAATACATAATTGTTTAAATAACATATATAAATATAACATCTGGGAAAAAGTAATGACAATACCTCAATATCTATGTATCTATCATCTATCTATTTATCTATCTATCTAGCTGTCTATCTATCATCTAACTAGCTGTCTATCAAAATGAACATGGCCATCTAGAAGATATAACTACCATTGCTTGATTGACCATTGTTTGATCAGGGTGGCTGTCTTATAGTTGCAGTATTACTCTGGAATGCTGGATAATACGTTTAATATTTATCGACACAATATTGGCTGCCAACAACAGGTTAACAATGCTAGAGTGACCACAATGCTACAGTTCCGATATATTTCAACACCACTTTTACCATTATGAAAAAAGATTAAGCATTTACTATAATTATACCACATGACAGGTGGCCTCATATTTTGCATTTAACTTCCTTTACTAATCCATAGCAGCAAAGAACATAGAAAAAAAAAACAAATGACCAATGAGAGACAAGCAGAGTAAATAACAAGCTCCTCCCACTGAGGCACTTCCTCTTTCTTTGCTGCTTCATCACAAGTCAGGTCAGAATATTGTGTGTCTCACATTGTCACTGGCTGTCTTGTTATTGCTATTATGTGTCATTATTTGTGTCAATATTACTGTGTTTCAGCTTTATACAGCTTTTTTGTACTATTTCTGTGGGAAGTCTGTGGGATACCCTGCAGCCTTTCTTCTAGGCTACCAGAGGTGCTAGGTTTTCCCTATCCCTCCCATCTCCAAACGCCCCCCCTCTAGTTTTCCCCACAGGTTATCGGATTTTGGGTGTATACCGACGGTGCTGATCCATCTGGGTATATTCCCGCCCCTTTGTGGCTACGCTTCCCACTTTGGAGAGTCTTCGCTTAAAGCGCCCGCAAGGCTTTCCTACCCGTCAGGTGTTCGCGCCCCACACGCGTTCGTGCGGCAACGTTTCTCAGTTCGGGCTGTTTCACCCACTGAACACGTAAATCCCTCCTTCGCGTTTGCTGGTTTTCTTGCGAATGCCTTGTCGTTTGCGAGCACCACCGTTCGCCTATCTTTCACATCGTACATAACGCGACATAACAACCATTCGCATTGTTGTTAGATTTCCCAGTGGGTTCGTATGTTCGCCACAAATGTTTGGTCACAAGTTTTTCAATAATCCCGTTCGCGGCCTTTTCAGTGGCCATAATGTATTTCGCATTGCGAGAGTCCCAGCGGCCATTTTAAACTCTGAGTATATATTGGAGTTTGTGCTGTGTGAACGTGTTAGCTCAGTGCTTTGTAAAAGTTGTGGAAATTTCTTTAACAGCCTGCTTGCCGTTTATTGCCTGTCTAAGGGACCTGCTACGGGTTAGTGGAAACCTTAATGGTGGGTCAGGCAGTCAGGTTTATTGCCTAGTACTCCTATTTCGGATGAGCCCCCATTTCATTGGCAGAGCGGAGCTATTCTCGCAGTCTTCTATATTTCTGGGTGAGCCCCAGAACTTGTCCACCTATATGTGGGCCATATATAACACAGGCCATTATAAGACCCCTGTTGGTCCCTGCTATCTGCTGCAACGTGCCAATCTACCCAAAATTTCACTGATAAATTGGGTAAACCCAAGTGTGTCTTACTAAAATGGAAGAGTCCCCAATGCCAAGAGACTTACAGGCCCTTATTAACGAGGCAGTGGTCGCTTTGGTTGAAAAGCCCTTAGCCAAAATAATGCCAATTATCCAAGACCTGCCAATGCCTCTCCCTAAATGCTCTCAATGAGAGACGAGAGAGATATCGGATGATTTTGACTCATCCTCTAAGGAGCAATCACGCCTGGCAACATACCACTGGAAGGGCGAAGAGTCCAAACAGAAGCCTAACAAAGGCAAACAAGTACAACTAAAGCACCCCTAAAACACGTCAAACAAGTACAACCTGTGCCTCAGAGGGTATACAACGTTTCCTGGGACGAGGAGCATGACATTCCCCCCTCTTTATCTATCCTGGACGAATGGCAGGCTGAGCAGTCTCAGTTGGACGACGAGACATGTGTTCACAACTCCTTTGTTAAGGAGACATTCCTGGGTGAGGCCCAGCAACAAGAGGACGTAGATGAGGCGGCATCCTCAGAACAGCCAGATAATGAGCGCTTCTATGATGCCACAGGTTGACGGATGTTTGACCCAAGGAACATCCGCCATCCACGGTCAGGAGATTGGATACCACCACCTCACCTCTCAAAGTTTATGCACTTCTGGTTGAGGAAGGCCTTGGATAAGGAGGTCTGCAAGAGATTACGCTCTGTTGCCGGACAAAGTTGCACTCACTCCGGAGTTCGACCAGCTGGCCTTCATTGCAAAAGGGGGTGGAGACCCTAGAAAGGGGGTTGAAAAAGGCTTTAAAGGAGCCCAACAAAAGTTGTTAGATGCAATAGGGCCACTGACACGTGTGATGACGCTGGCAAACTAAGCTTATGCACAGGTTGATTCTTTAACGGCAGACATGGTACACGACTGGGCGCATGAAGTTCTGCTTCTTGGGTAAGACCAACGTGGCCCTCTAGTCAGATATACGCTGAGCAGTGCTCTTTAGGATTAATGGTAAACTAGTGGATCTTGGGGCCAAGGAATTGGGCCTACAGGCACCCGGCAAATTGTTCGGTGAACCTTTTATGAAGGAACTGAACAAGCACGTGAACATGTTCACGTCACTAAACAAGGCGCAAACATTAAAGCAGACTGTACGAGGCTATCGCATAGTGTTCGAAGTCACTCCAACCCACGCCTTGCCACCACGTCTGATCTACTTCACAAGGCCATATGCCAGGCATATAGATCATGAACTAACAGATCTACATCTCCGGGAGGATTCTTATCTCTTATCTCAGCAATATGTTCCTTGTGTGGAAAAAGCCAGGAGAATACCGTCCGGTAATCAATCTGCGGGATCTAAATGTACACATTACTTACCATCATTTCAAGATGGAAGGTATACACCTATTACAAGATTTAATCCAAGAAGGAGACTGGTTCACCCATCTGGATCTCAAGGACGCATACATGTCCGTCCCAGTACACGACGATAGTCACCCATTTCTGAGGTTCCTATGGAAAGGAACACCTTGGCAATTTCACTTGCCTTCCATTTGTACGCAGCTCAGCACCATGGTGCTTTACGAAGGTTTTGAAGCTAGTGATGGTCCACCTTAGGGGACAGGGTATCAGATGCTTAGTATATCTAGACGACATACTTTTATTCGGTCAAATACTACAACAACTGGTGTCATAGACAGCATATACAGTACAGGTGTTTGAATCCCTGGGATTCATCGTAAACCGCACAAAGTCAGCAATGACTCCAGCTCAATGTGTATAATTCCTGGGCTTCGACATTGACTCACGGTCCTGTACACTTCGACTTCCAACAGCGAAGGTCTCAGCAATCTGAAAGAAGATTAGCAGGATCCTCCACTGGGAATCAATCAAGGGTCGTCTTTTTGCATGGGCACGCTGGGCAGTTGCCGGGGGCCCCACAGCGGTGACCAGCATGCCCAGGCAGACAGACTGCCGGCACATGGAGAGTTGGCCCTGCTGTCTTGCCGTGGGCCCTCTTGGTTTATCTCTGATCTCCCTCATCGGCCCAAATGCCCTTCGTTAGAGGAGAGAGGGCGGGAGGACCCGGAGGCAGGAGGAGGGTCCTGTAAGGCACATTGCTCCTTCTGCGAGCAGGCTGTGTGGCAATGGCAACACTCCATACAGCATTCTGCACGCGGAAGGACAGGAGACAGCCTGCAAACCAGGGACGTATTAGCCGCGAGGCAAACAAGGCATTTGCCTTGGGTGGCATTTTCCAGAGGGCAGCAAAAAAAGCTGCCCCCAAATGACCAGGGCAAATGTCTTGTTAGCCTTGCAGCTAACGGTCCAGGCAGGTGAGCAGCTAGGTAAAAATCCGTGCTGGCGGCGCTGGCGAGGGAGCACTTTCCCCTGAGCTCTCTGCTCAGCTCCCTCGCGCGCCGCCCGCAGAATGATGCTGGGAGCCTAGGGCAGCACAAAACCAAGGTACACCACTGCTGCAGACTACATAGAACTCACCACCACCGGACCACCAGGGCTGGCTGTGTCCCCCCTTCACTAAAGGTAATAAGAAGGGAGGGGGGATGAAGACTTTATTAATGTATAGCAGTATTAAAAAAACAAAAAACATTTACAAGTACCACTAAAGCACTCTCGGTCTCGTTTCAGCTTAACTCTACACGATGCCGTATTCAGACCCATGAGAAGATTTTTCTACATTCCGGCTGTCCCATGGATTTTGTATGGACAATTCTTATCTGTTAGAAATTTGTTGGACGTTTCCTGGTTCTGATCTATGATTGATTGTTACTTTATGATTTGTGATGCCGCTATCTTCGAGTGAAAGTGCCTCAGTGGGAGGAGCTTGTTATATACTCTGCTTGTCTCTCATTGGTCATTTGTTTTTTTTTGTGTATAATTCCTGGGCTTCGACATTGACTGGTCGAACTCCGGAGTGAGTGCAACTTTGTCCGGCAACAGAGCGTAATCTCTTGCAGACCTCCTTATCCAAGGCCTTCCTCAACCAGAAGTGCATAAACTTTGAGAGGTGAGGTGGTGGTATCCAATCTCCTGACCGTGGATGGCGGATGTTCCTTG